GGTCAGAATTCAACAGACGAGGGCAATGTTTCAGCCAAGGGTAGCGTAACGTAGGTGGAATCATCATCATCATCAAAAGCGACCTTTTTGTTACACATTTTATAAGTATTGAAACAATCAACTAAGTGGATGACGAAGTGGTTTAAGCGGTCACCTCGCCGCTTTCTACTGCGCTAAATGTTGTGGGTTCGATCCCCATATGAGACAACACTTTGTGTGATCCACAAATTGTGGTTCTGAGTCTGGGTGTTTTTTGTGTCCGACACAGGGTATATTCTTAGTGCGATAACTATATTTTTAACAAAGTAATTTATTATTGAAAAAAAGAAACAAAATGAAACCGGTCAGGTACGAGTCGAACTTGTGCGCCGAGGGTTTCCTACCTACCCAGATTTTACGTAGATTTTCGCGAAAATTTGTAAGTACCAAAATTTATCTTAATTTTCAACTTTGGAATTATTCCTTTATTTGTGCTGTTAGACGTTTCTTTTTGCCAAATTTCGTGATTCTAGGTCAACGGGCACTACCATATAGGTTTTCGACCCAAAACCTATAGGGTACTTCCGGTTGACCTAGAATTGTCAATTTTGGTGAAAAGCAAGGTTTTACGACACAAGTAAAGAGAAAATTCTGAAAAATAAAAAAGTTGAAAATTAAGGTAAATTTTGGTACTTACAAGTTTTCGGGAAAATCGAAATTTGCCCATATCTTTTTATCGTGTTGACTCAGGACCTTCACTTTTATACACCCAATAGAGCCTATATACCTCAGTATCTGGTATAAATTTGAACTTGCTAGGTCTACCTGAGAAAATCGGTGGTGTCACACGGACAGACGGACAGACAGAGAGACGGACAAGAAAGTGATCTTATAAGGGTTCCTTTTTTACCTTTTGAGGTACGGAACCCTAAAAACGCAACCTACTTAAAATTTATAAACCAGCGCTTTTAATTTTTATATTCTTTATATTCTACTTTATACTGTGCCACTCTAATACCCCACAGGGATATTAAGGTAGTAAGATTTCAGAAACATAGAGGGGCTGTGTATATTATTTTCTGATCGAATTAAAAAAGGAGGAAATTCAAAATTTGGCTGCATTTATCTTTACAATGGCCGTGTGGTGCCGGATTAAGAGCCGTAAGAGCCGACTAAGGCAACAAACTGTGTACAACAGCAGAACAAGAGAAGGAAAACTCGATACAAACCCTATACCGACCTTTCCAACGTGGTATAGTTGGCTAAAACGTCCTTTCTAATGAGAGGCCTATGTCCAGCAGTGGACTAGCAAAGGCAGTAATTAAGAATACTTCACGAATACGTACACATATTGTGACGTCACAAACCGTGACGTCTGCATGCCACATGCAATCTAAACTTTCCGTACTAATATTATATGTTAAAGCCGAAGAGTTTGTTTGTTCGGTCGAACGTGTTAATCTCTGAAACTACCGGTTCGAATTAAAAAAGTGTTTTAGTGTTGTATAGCCCTTTTTTCGAGGATACAGGGCTTTATTAAATCACGCTACGACCAATAGGTAATCGGTGAAAAATGTTTCGAAAACGGGAGACTTTATTTAAAGTTGAGCTCTCTCTCTCTCTCTCTCTCTCTCTCTCTCTCTCTCTCTCTATCTATCTATCTATCTATCTATCTAAGTAGCCTGTTACACCCATCATCACTCCTTAGAAAGGAGGTTTTGGCCTAATATACTACGCTGGCCAGACAGGTTGGTATAGGGTTTGTTTCAAGTTTTCCTTCTTTTTGCAGTGCTGTTGCCCAGTGCAGTTTGATCCCTTAGTCGGCTCTTACGACACCCACGGGATGAATACGGGTGGTGACATTCCGTATTCTTAATCTGTCACCACTCGTAATCTGTTACACTCACTGCTGGGTCAAGGCGTCTTCTCTATCACGCCACTCCTGGTGGTTTTGTGCCACTGAAATTAGTGTTTTCTTTTCTAGTACAAGAATAACCTACCCACCTCACATACAGAAGCAATTTAAAAGTGAGTGCTTTTTGTTTAATTATTAATATTAGAAAAAAGTAGGGGTCTGTTGGTTTAGTGGTTAGCGACCCTGACTGCAAAGTAAGAGGTCGTGGGTTCAATTTCCACTCATAACAAATAATTGTGTGATGATCACGACCGTCTGGGTCTGGGTGTAATTTGTCTATGTTGTGCATAGTTATGTGCCTAGTTTAGGATCAGACGCCCGTGTGTGAGATGTGAAAAAAACTTATTATATTTTTGGTGGGACTCAAAAGTCCCAAGTGCAGGTGTCCTCTTACCATCAGCTGACCCATCTGCTCGCTTGTCCTTTATATCATAAAAAAAATAAGAAATGATTTATTTCTATTACCCTTTCAGAAATAATCTTCAAACCCAAATTGCCATATGGGCCCGGGGACCGACAGAGAGCTTCGTTCCATCCAGCCTGGATGGACTACTGCGATCCATATCACTGCAATGATAATTTCAAAACAGCTTGTGGCCTAAATCGGAAGAACATGAAATTCAGATATTTCCAGAGCGGCTGCCATCTTATTTTAAACAATATGTGTGCCACATTTCGTGGGGCCTTGAGTGAGTATCAACTTAACTATCACATTCTACCCTCTCACGCTTTCCCTATCACGGTCGCTCATCACGGTCGCTTATCACGCTCGCCCTATCACGCTCGCTTCATCACGCTTGCCCTATCACACTCGCCACTGCGTATACGAAGCGTTCTCAAGTGCATACAATATTTTATATCTTCATAGAGTATGACATGGTTGAACTCAAGTTTTGCCGAGTGTACATCATGTTCCTACGAATGAGCTGCCCAACAGAGTGCAGTGAAGAAGTAGTGAATCCTGTTTGCGCGTATAGCACAACGCGCGGACATGTTGTGCTGTTTATAAACAAATGCTCACTAGAGGCAGCTAACTGCAGAAATACTACTACACAAGGTATTTTTTAAATATATATATTTTATGTCTAATTATTAAGCCTGAAGCTTTCCTCTGTAACAGAGTATTTAACTGTATATGAGAAAACATCTAAATATTTAGATTTTATTAGTTTTTTTAATCTGTTATTTCACACCATGAAATAGTAATGTTATTACGTCATACAGCTGTGTAAACTAAAAAGAGTCATTATCAACTGATCGCATTTGTTTATACAGCCAACTGAAGTAATGATCCACAGCAATATGGCGTTTAAGTCACACTGCGGGCAAAATCTGAAAAGTTTTTTTTTAATATAATATCGCACACATCTCACACACGGCCGTCTGATCCCAAACTAGACAGAGCCGTACTATGGTAACCAGACTGCTGATGAACATACTTATATATTTCTAAATATATACATATTATAGATAAATTACACCCAGACACAAAACAAATGACTGTGCTCATTACACAATATTTGTCCTGGGTGGGAATTGAACCCACGACCTCGGGTTTAGCAGTCAGGATCACTAACCACTAGACCAACAGGCCCGTCGAAGTTAAATCTGCATTTTATGGCACTTATTGTTTGAATAAAAATTTTGTGGTTTTTTGTGGTTTATTAGAGCTATGTAATATAATTAAGACACTTAAAAAAAGGGGGGTAAAGCCCTATTACACTATCAATGGAAGAAAGTTATTTTTTAAATCTAACTGTCAACTTCAATAAGGGTTTAAAAAAACAGCATTTTTGTAGTTAGGTACATATAATTTTTAAAGATTAATTTTCAAAATCTATTATTTATGGTTCTATATTCTTTTTTTTTGTTTTATAGAATACGAAATGGTGAATCTGCGCCTGTGTGAAAAACTGCTGTTACAAGAAAAATCTAAATTAACTTCGGATAATAATGACGTGGCGGATTTTTCATATAACGAATAGATTAAATTGACAATAAAATAATAACACTATTTAATGTAGTTTTAAATGTAGGTTTCAATTGTTAAAAGGGCGCGAACTCATTACAAAATGGCCGCTTTTAGGCTACCTTTACTAATAGAATTAATACATATTACGTTCTTTCGTTCCGTCTTAAAAGACAAAACCGGTACACAAATTGTTGTAATGTGTAGAAATTGAACATACAGGTCATAGCGCAGCTTAGGAGCGAGTAGTGGTGGTGTGTTAAAATTTTACACCACGGGTACAAGAACGAGAACGGGTGGACCGACTACTAAAAGAAAGCGTATTTTCCGTTCCTGTTTCCCGTATGAAAACAGTTAACATTCTCGAGGAGGGTTGACTTTAGGCAGGGGGTTTACACACTCCTTAAAAAACTTGGATCACCAAATTACAACTACTATCCGACAGGCTCAAGACAGAGTGAGATGTAGAAACCTAGTGTTAACATCTACGGAGTGTCATATCAGACATGACCTTCAATGATTGTAGGTAGCGGAAAGATAAGCTGCAGAGCAGCACAACCATGGTATATTTGTCAAAAAGTTGTTAGTACCCAGTACAATACCCTAAGGGACTCCATAGTACCTAATGGATGCTCGATCGATGTCAAATATTCTACCATTGAAGGTCGATCGACGTCGACTAATCAATTCTACCATCGATTGATGGGTCTGGTAACTCCCTACTCTATCAGAACACTTTCTACAAAGTGTTATAATGCTTTACTATGTCAATAGCCTTATACTAAACAAGAGCAGACGGGTCGACCGATGGTAAGTGACTACTGCCGCCCGTCGGCCATCCTGGACCTGCAACTTAAGAGATAGAAGTACGTTGCTACACTCCTTCGTCCCCCCTCCAACATATAGAAGGGACGGAATTGTTGGGTTGTTGGAAAAAGTTGCTTTACACCATTTTCCTGTAAGTCCGTGGTATTTCTATGGTTGAGCCGGCCCCTATGTGCTAAGGCATTACGCCTAGCACCCACGGTACCCACAGTATTTAGACTTAATCATTTCTAAATAAAAAACCAAGGCTTTTTTTTATTTAAAATAACAACCATTTTACTTTTACCGTTAGCTGATGAAGTTTTCCGCAGGCTATGAGTTTTCTGGTATTGTGTATTGATCTTCATTTTGATTTGGTTCATCTAAATCATATTTTTCATCTGCTTTAGGAATTTTAACCAAGTTGTTAGGGGTCTCCAACCTGTTCGTATTTCTTTTAGGTATATCTGTGTCTTGACTTTGTCTTCCATTTGTTTTAAATCTATTTCTATTCTTATGTTTCCCAGCATCCGCAGTTATATATTGCCTATTAGAACCTATATTTAAAAAAAATCCTTCTGACTTTGCTTTAGAAGTCTCTGCAGCTGGTTGTTCATTATCACCGGCGTAATCTTTCTCCTGTAAATTATCTCTGTCATTCTCCCCTCTATAAGGCTGAATGTCTTGTTCAATATTACCTGCCACTTTATACGGTAAATTTTCAACAAAATATTTACTATCACGGTTATTTTGTTTTTGTCCTAAATTACTACTTGGCTTTTTAATCTTTCTTTTATTATAATTTGTTGTTTCATCTTCGTAGTTAATATATTCTTTAGCTTTAATTTCGGTTTCATCGCTAAATACATTGAGAATTTTCTTGTCCATCTGATCTACAGGCTCTTTTTTCGAAGAAGAATTATTTGTGTCCACTTTCTTAGGTTCCGTTGCTTCGGTTTCTTGTTCGATATAGTCTTCATCTTTTTTTGGAGTGACGTAATCTTCATAACTGTCTTTTGATGCCAAATTTACTGCTGAGAAAATACCGGTGGTAGTAGAAGTAATACGTTTAGGTAGATTGATATTTCTATCTCGCTTCATATGTTTTTTATTATTAACGTTATGTTGAGCAGTAAATGCTTTATGATTTCCTGGTCTTATAGCATATTTTTGTTTCATTGCCTTTTCTAACTTACCTTGACTAAGCATATATTTGGATTGTTGTGTTACGTAACTATCATTTGTCGGTTGCTGTTTTGATTTTTCTTCACGTCCTTCTTCTTCTCGAGATTTATTTTCGATAACATTTCTGGTTTGTTTTACATACCTAGACGGAGGGTTTATATAACGAGATTGTTGACCGTCTTCTAGAACACCAGACTGTGGTTTAATGGGGTTATCAATAAGCACTTTTGGTATTTCATAAGACTTTTCAGTAGTGGTTCTCGTGTCTGCCGTGGCTGCCATCAAAGTGAGTTCGCTTTGCAGTCTCTTCTTTATTTTCTCTACGATATCGTCTAAAGACAATTCATACTTTGAAGTCGTCTTTTTCGTGGGGCTACTGTCACTTTCTTTCCTTTTTTTGTACTCTGGCCTAACTGTATTCTCCGTATTATAAGATTCTGTCGCTATGTCAGTGTCAGGACTAATATCACGAATTTTTGGAAATTCATTGAGTTGTCTACTCGCATCATGACCGATTGCGTCTTTCGCCATTTTGAAAATTGCATTTGCCAAATCGTCGGGTACAAATTCTTTTGCTATAGAGCGAAAATCTTCAATATTAGCCGCCAATACAACATCGCTAGCCGTTGAGCTTAGTGCGGTTATGAAATAATCTGTGGAAGATAACATATTATAATGAAACTCCTACTGGTTAGAGTATAGGTAGCACACCAACAGATAAGTCCTTTGATGGTAAGTAGACACGCCGCCTATGGACATCTGCAATCGAAGAGTCGCAAATCTCAAATGGATTGATGGAGCCTCCCTCGGGGACGGCGGTTACAAACCCTTGTCCTTACAGCTAGTGGTCAGACCAACTCAATCCCAAGCAGATTTATCATTGACGTAATGTTTTCTTATTATTTAAAAAAAAACAACTCTAGCATTATTTAATTATTGCCTGTGTCCTGTAGGACTTTACAGACAACGTACACAAAGAACACCCAGACTCAGACCACAACAATTTATGGATCATACAAATCACACAGAGCGCAGTAGGTAGCAGCAGCGAGGTGACAGCTTAATCTGCTACGCCATTCGTGTTTGCCTTAACACAGTAGTAAGCTTTTGAAATAGGTCTACATCTAACGTTATTTTTTAATCTATTTATTGGTAAACTAGATAAACTGGTTCGGATTTTGTTATATAAGTTTACACAACTGTCCTCGAATGAATTATGTTCCGTATGGAGCCGAGTATATTTATATATCATGAACAGCCTTTAATAGTCCACTGCTGAACATAGGCCTCTCCTAAGAAAGGAGGTTTTCAAGTGCTGTTGTCCGTAGTTTTCTTCCTTAGTCGTCTTTTATAACGCCTCTTACAATAGGAATAATAAATTTATTTCGCATTTGTCTCCAAACGCTAACAGTGCTAATGAAATATTGTATTTTTTTTTAATTTTAGAGTTGTTAACAAAAAGTAGTAACTTACATAAAGCAGAATATAAATACATTTTGCTCAAACTATTTCGAAAAGACCATAAACATTTTATTATCTACTCGTAATAAATGGAAATGTTACGATTTTACAATGGTATTTTGATATAAGTTTTAGGTTACTTTGCTTTAGTGTGATAGATTAAAGAAAAAAATGAGTTTACTAATAAGACAAGACTAAATTACATTACGAAAATAGAAAAAAGAGGTGCTACCACAGCAGTAGCATAGTAACAGATCCGACATCTCATCTTAGTAATAGGAAATAAGAATGTTGTTGTATTATTGGTCTTTAAGGCAGAAATTTAAAGTAATAAACATAATGACACATTTTCATATGTTGACTTGCCACAAGTCAATATATTGTTGTAGAAAGGTTCTCTTGTGGGTTCTGGGCAACAACAAACACCATTAATATCTTTTACCGGTATTTTATTAATATGATATTGTAGTGATTCGGCGCGTTGCTCAGTGACATCTGTCAGTCAGAACGAAGGCGACCGGATCCGGATACAGATAACATAAAATTATAACATAAATGAAAATGTAATATATGTCCATAAAAACGGATAGCTTTTTGAAAAAAGTGATGTATATTCTATAAATACCAGAAATAGAAATAAACTTGTAGTAACTACTAGGTTCCGAAAGATAAACAAGTCGTTTCGAGGCCAATGTGTCTGATTTTATAATAAAAATAATATTCAAGACTTAAAAACATTAAATCCGCATTAAATCCGTAAATTATGTCAGAAAGCCTATTACTCAATCGTGAATTACATAGAAGACAAAAATGGGATCAATTTAGAGTAGGCTATTTTTTAAGTGGAAATGTGGTGTTGGCTAGTGTGTTTTTTTGTTATTTTTTTTTCTTTTCTATTTTTTATGTTTAACTTCACTTTCTCTTTTATTTGATCTTTTCTCTTAATCTCATTTTTCTCTTTATTGTCTTTTTACCTTTCAGTCCTTAATAATGGATATACTAGCACACATGAAAACAATGTGGTATATTTTATTATGCCATTGTATCTATCTGTAAATTGCAAAAGAGTGAAAATTTGATTATTTGCATTGCAGTTTTTGACCGTATGTGGTATTTATAAAATGTTTTTGGTAAAAGGGTCTGTTTACTCATTGTGATATCATTTTTCAAGATTTTTAACCAAAAAAAATGAAAAAATATATGAATTCTCCTCCTGAATTGATGACACATGTAGCCTTTTCCTTTCTTTGTTTAGCTGTAATAAGTAAGAAAAAAATATTGTAAGTCACTAGCAAATTTGTAGCGACATGTTGTGTTTGCCTTTAAATGTTTGTTATAATAATGTTGTGTCAATTATGAATGATGTAATGGAATATTAAGTATATTTGTGTACATGAACGTTGGCGAACCTTAATAAATAAACATAACACGTAAAACTCGTTGACTTAAAGCCAATTTAAATTTGTTCTAAGCTACCGCAGCGCCACCCTTATTGGACACTTTTCGTACACAGAGGTGGTTCTCCGTGCCTATACCCACCATAGGTATAAGCAACATTGACATTATATCAACAACAGCCTTAACTAGTTTACTGCTGGACATAGGCCTCTCCTTCACATCAACAGCCTTTAACAGTCCACTGCTGGAGACTATCCTCTCCTTAGAAAGGAGGTTTTGGCCTACTATACCACGCTGGCCAGACGGGTTGGTATAGGGTTTGTTTCAAGTTTTCCTTCTCTTTACAGTGCTGTTGTCCTGCGTGGTTTACTGCCTTAGTCGGCTCTTACGACACTCACGCTATGAAAAGGGGTGGTGACAATCTGTATTCTTTATCCGTTACCACACGGATAATATTACCTATAAATAATACCTATCCAATGACGCCCCACATCATGTGATGGATGAATTTTAAAATTATAACATCCCCACTTTAAAGGTACTAGAGGTAAAAAATAGTTTTCAAGATTTAATTTTACCACTTTGTCACCGTGATTAGTACGTAAGTTCATGCAAAATTAAAGGTTTCTAGCACTCTATAGTTTGTAGTGTCCGTGTAGTGACGGATTAAGAATACGGAATGTCACTACCCCAATTCATCCTGTGGGTGTCGTAAGAGCCGACAAAGGGCGCAAAACAACGCAGGACACCAGCACTGCAAAAAGACGGAAAACTTGACACAAACCCTATACCAACCCGTCTGGCCAGCGTGGTATAGTAGACCAAAACCTTCTTTCTAAGGAGAGGCCTATGTCCAGCAGTGGACTATTAAAGGCTGTTGATGTGATGATGATGATGATGATAGTTTGTATGATAAAGTGAAAACAGACGGACGGACGGACGGACATGATGAAACTATAAGCATTCCGTTTTTGCCATTTTGGCTATGGAACCCTAAAAAATATATATATTTTGAGGAAACTTGATAAGCTATTTACAATACGCTACGACTTTATGAAGCGGTGCAGTGACTATAATTAAAGTAGGTACAACCGCAAGAAACAGCTATTGCGGGTTTTAATATAATTTTTTGAAGTCGGTTAAAATTAAAAACACGTATTAAAAAAAAATGAAACCCGACTGCAACAAGACAATTTAAAAGTAATGCGCTAAAACACCGAAACAGTACGCCGGCACATAAACATGGCAACATTAAGTATTAAATTTAAATATTTTTAACTTATATGAATATTTGTGATGCCCTTTTAATTTTCTTGATTTTGATACCCTGCTCAATAGGTTTGGTAATTTTTTTCAGTAACCTGTCAAGTACTATTTTGAGCCAAAAATCCAAATCCACCATCTTTTTTCTTTCAAAAAGCTGTCTAAGGATACTTGGGTATTTTACATCCAGTCATTTGAAAGCTCCGAGGTAATAAAGAAATTTACAAACACACATACAAGATACGCGTAATAATACGGGTGAAAAAAAGAACACATGGTTAAATTATTAATGTATTTTTCTACAAGCCATTATAACAAAAAAAATTGATTAATAAATGATCCAAAACATATTAATAACAAACTCATACAAACTCCAGAAGCGTTTAGTTTATTATGTGGCTCGCGTTTTGTTTATGCTCCGAACTGGTCTTGATTTTTCTGGCAACATTTCTGCAAACATATAAAAAAAATGTAACATATCATCATCACACCAACAGCCTTTAATAATCCAGTGCTGGACATATGCCTCTAAGTAGAATAAGGTTTTGGCCTACTATACCAGGCTGGCCAAACGTGTTGCTATAGAGTTTGTGATAAGTTTTCCTTCCTTTTGCAGTGCTGTTGTCCTGCGTAGTTTGCTTCCTTAGTCGACACCTCTTACGACAACCTCGGGATGAATAGGGATTGTGACATTCCATATTCTGAATCCTTGTGGTGACCGATTAGGATTTAAAAATGTTGGCTTGATTTTTATTTATTATCTGTCCGTTTAGGTATATTTGCAGTCTATGATAATGAAAAAACATTTCGTCTTTGTCTACATCATCTACTAGCCTTTGTCCACAGCTTCGCTCGTTTTTCTAACTATGAAAATGGCTAACTTCCTTACCACCGTTCATCCATTATTTTACCTCCTTAGGGGTAACATTGCCAATCCTTTCTAAGTAAGTGCTTACAACATATAATTATCTGTCAAAATTTCAGGTATCTAGCCACAGCGGGTTAATCTCTGCGTCGACGAAGTACAATATTGTTAGTTCCATTAACGTTATAGTGGACAAACTATTGGTGTCAAACGGGCATATTAGGAGTTTTGACGTTAATAGGTGTCAATATCGAAAAAAGGTAGAAGAGATGCTCGTGGCTGCAAGGTTAAGTAAACACATTCCTAGGGAGTTGAGTCTACAGATGGGTGCCCACTCTTAACACATTGAGACCATTCCGTGCCTCGGAAAGCACGTTAAACCATCAGTCCTGGTTGACATACGAACACTTGTTCGCGAAAAAGTCCGACAACTTTTTGACGTGACAACGTCTTATAATTCGATGGAGCCGGCAGCACGCACGAAAAAACATGACTCATGCGGCGTTACCTCGCTCTGAGGCGTTCCATTTAAGGCTTGAAGTGCGACAAGGAGGCACAATCGGCCTCCGCGTTCGGCAGCATTCGACATCTATCTCTCTCCTATTTGAGTGAGCGATGCCTCCGCGTGGACAGCTGCTATACAATAATACATAATAATATATAATATGCATTATAATGGATATTATATATTATTATTTTCTTAAAGGTTATTTTCTTTTTTGGATGTATTGGGGAATGTAAATATTATCCAGATCAGGGCAATTTGTAACTGGAGTTGGCTATTGCCGTAAAGTCAGAGACGTCTAACCAATTACCATGTTATAAACTAATCAAATTTACTGTTATCCGGAGTAAAAGGAATGCGTCGGGATATAAAAATTCGGTTCTATATTAGAGAACGCAAAATATCAAGCATTTAAAAACGCAAAATTTACATATATATGCCAACACTAAAATGACGTATATGTATAATATAGCTGACAAACTTCAAAATGTGTCTCTGAAGGCAAAATTCGGAACGTCGTATTAGAGTGACAGGTGTCATTCTGCCGGGACGTCACATAGTATAGGTCTGGGCAGCCATTTTGTACTGCATAACTGCACAGCTTACAGAATTGTGCCGATACATCACGTTTTGGACGAATCGTTATTCGCTCATTTTCGACGCAGTCGTTAAAGCTATTACACTTGTTTGACACGCGTTTAATTGACAGAGATTAAGAACGGGAGAACAGGTTAGTTTTGCCTGATTAGATAACTACCTACCCTGATATATGACGAAGCTTTACCGAGATTGGCCGCCCAGTTTCTACATACTATTAAAAAGTTCATTGACTTAAAAGTATTACCATATGCAAGTTCACGGCCGAGTCTTGGCGAAAAGTTCACGATCCTGCCAAGTCCTGAAAAATATTTGGTTCTGCTGTTCTTTTGCTCTGCTTCAGGATGATTTCTGTGGAGAAAGTAAGATTTGTCAAGATAATTATAGTGGAAGGTGTACGTGTACTAAATGAAATAACCAACTAGAGAATCTGTCTTTTAATTATAATAACCTTCCTGATTTCAATCTAGGCAAAGCCTGGTATATGGTAACCTGACTACCTAGCCTAAACCTAGTTTCCATTCTTAATATATTTCTAAACACATACAAACAGATAAATTACGCTTGACATACAAGCTTGCGGAACCTCGGGCAATAGTATATTATAAATGTGTTTGTCAATTTGTTTGTTACGCTTTTACGGCTAAACCACTAAACAGATTTAAAAATCTTTAACCAAACGAAAGCTACATTATAGGCTACTTTATACCGCGAAATCCGACATGCACGTGGGCAAAGCTAGTGATTAAATATGGAGGGCTCCCCTTTTCGTGTTCATTTACATCGATGATATAATATATATAACAAATTTTGAAATCGATGATATATAACAAATTTTGAAATGTAAAAGCTAAGGGTTTTTAAATACTTACATATTTTGGACAGTTGGCTCATCGGCCATTCCGTTAGAGAGTCGTCTGCCAAGTCGAGAAATAAACTCTGCGTTTTCGGTCATTCTTTCTTCGTCCGGCGATAGGCTGCGACCTAGTTTTATTGTATAAATTACTTTTCTCATCCGGACAAATCTAATTAAAATTCTTTATATAATTTTTATAATTAAAATTCTTTATATATATATATATATATAATTCTTCTGTGCGTGTATACGTACTGAACTTCTCCTGAACAGCTGGATTTGCAGCCGATTTTGATAAAAGAATTTTGTTTGTGTTCAAGCGGATTCGAGAATAGTTTAGATTCACAATTCGGTCCACTACAAAATGATTTTTAGTCTACGACCTATGGGAGCAGAGAACCAGAAAAATGTTGCAAAAATGGGGCAAGTTCTTTCTCGGATAAAATTCGTTTTCAGACACAGATGAAGTTGCGTATGTCAGCTAGTAATTATGTATTTGAATCATATAAGGGGAACCGTGCAGACAAATCACCAGTAAGTTGTAAGTGGATACCATAGCAACCCATGGACATTTGTGACTTAAGAGTTGCAAGTGCATTGATGGCCTTCAATTGCTCTTGCCAGAATCAGGGAGGAGAGTTTCTCTGTAACACACTCATTTGGTGGAATACTACTTAAAGAATCGGTTAAAGACGGTTTATTACAAAGCTCTGGTGTTACTTCGGTAAAGTCTATTGGTGTCGAAGAATGGCTGTCCCAAAGTCAGACAGATTGACTTCAAACATACGACCTTTTTCATGTGTGTATTTCTAAGACGCCTGACTTGCATCGGGCCGTTCCTATTTCACGTTTGCTTCGTAATTTTAAAAAACAATATTTACCTTTAGTTTCTGATTCCGTAGCTCTATCCTTCACCTCACTCCTTCCTTCACTTCCTTCATAATCACGGTAATAGTTGATCGTATCAGCAGCCTCCAGTAGTTTGTAAAGTGCTTGCCTGTTGAAGAATTAACATAGAGATTTTGAACGACCTCTTTTACACTTATGGTAATTGCTCTTCTTCTAAAAGACGTGATGTTATTTAGTATATAACCCTGCTCAAGAATTTGTCTAAGTTTTAAAAATTCAAATAGCCAACGATAGAGCACAGCGCGATTGACCCAAAACAAAAAAGAAATGAAAATCAAGTTTCCATCTGTTATATCAATTATAAATCTCTTAAAACTACCAGGTGGAGGAGTCAGTCATAAGAAGACAGTCGTGAAGCCACTTGCTACTACTGATACTACTACTACGGATACTCTACAGTTATGCCATGAAACCATAAAGTCGCTGGGTAAAATTATTACATGTCGCCTACGGATAATTCTTATTCTTGAGATAATCAACAGCCTTTAGTAGTCGGTGGACTACTAAAGGCTGTTGATTATATTATTATTATTACTGGACATAAGCCTCTCCTTAGAAATGAGATTTTAGCCTACTATACCATGCTGGCCAGACGGGTTGGTATAGAGTTTGTTTTAAGTTTATTTATGTATATTAGGTAGGTAGGTAGGTATTTAGAAGGCTTATTTTCTCTCTTATTCGGCTCTTACGACAACCAAGAGAAATAGGGGTGGTGACACTCCGTATTCTTAATCCGTCACCACACGGACATTCTTGAGCTAAAATTTCAGTATATTACCTGTTGTCTTCGGTGGATTGACTTGGAGATCGCTTGCCTAGTCTTGGTCCAAACCACAAGGGTCCACTGCCATCACCGAATGATCCTTGGTCCTACACAGCGTGTTAAACAAAACGAAGTTCATTAATCTATCATCACGTTCCTGTTCTCATCCCAATTTAGTCTCTATAATCAAGAAGGAAATCTCACAAAAGCTAACCATGCTATTTTATGTTAACGCCAAGCCACTTTCATTCCATTGACACGCTATTGAGACGTCGGTCAAAATATCAGGATTCTACTAACATAAAGTCACAGTGTCATTAGACTGTCGATATAGTAATATAGGTCATATCAACAACATTGCCATATCGGGAAAATTAAATTTATCATTTTCTAACGATTTTAAAACTTACCGTGTACCAAACTATTACAAATACATCGACGACATTTGTATCAGTGGCAGTTCAGTGACAAGTGACATCCTTTGGCCATTGGTCTTACGAGTATATAGTTAGTAGAATACCAAAAGTGCAAAACTATTCCGACGACATTCAATCTACAATCTATTGACACAATATTAGAATACCAGAATTGAGGCCCTGAATAGATCGCACAGCGGTGTAAAGCGCGTCCCGGACACTACAAGGATCCGCATGTAAGTCATCGCCCCTGTCGCTGGTCACCCCCGATCTGGACCTCCCCAGGGTTCACCTGGGTGTTTCATCTGGCTCAGAAGACCACACCCAATTAATCATTGGAAATAAGCCCACCAGATACTATCACCTAGAGGTCTTATAGGAGGATCACAGTATTATGCAGGAGACACACTACCCATTATTAAGGCAAAAAGCTTACCTTCATATTGTCATTATCCGTAGCTAAAACATAGCTGACCAACGCTAATACGATAGGAAAACTGATTTTTTCTAAGCTATGCATCTTGTTCGAAGGATAAAGATGGACTGACGGTTTAAGAATACTTTGGGCAATTTATATACTATGAACTAAATGGAAATTTGATGTAAATGAGGGTAGAATGACACCATTTGGATTAGAAAATATAGAGCTATTATTGAAATAGATTTATTTACTCTGGATGCTGGAAATGTGTGGGTTTTTGTACGTGTTTAGTATTCACAGTGTTGCTCAGATATTTATTAGAATAATCTTTGTTATGCAGCACTGTATTGCATATATTGTATGTGTGTGTGTTATTTTTATATCCTTTATTCATGAGAAATTATATACATACAATTTTATCCCTTTTTCTGAGATGCAGCCGTAAGCAATTTTATATTTAATTCTTAAAACTAAATTATATGTTCATCGACAACCTTTAACAGTCCACTGCTGGACATAGGATTCTCCTTAGAAAATAGGTTTTCACTTACTATGCCACGCTAACCAGATGAGTTGGTATAGGGTTTGTTTCAAGTTTTCCTTCTCTTTGCAGTGCTGTTGTTCTGCGGTTTGCTCCCTTAGACGGCTCTTACAACACGTCGACACCCACGTTATGAATAGGGGTGGTGACACTCCGTATTCTTAATCCGTCATAGGATGGACAGATTATAGTTATGTTAGTGTTTCTATAATATAGTACATAAGTTCTATGTACAAGACCTAACACAAAGACTTAATAATAGGGGTTAAAATATGAAATTGCCGTTGTACAGTAATAGATACTTTGAATTTACATAAAACAATCATAGTGTGTACGTCCAGCAGTGGACTATTATATAGTCCACTGCTGGACATACACACCATGAATTACTATTCATGGTGTGAACACCATAAACACCATGAAAGTATCTATTACTGTAAAAAAAAAAAAAAAAAAAAAAAAAAAAAAAAAAAAAAAAAAAACGGCAATTTCATTTTTTAATACTGTAAGTTACAATTTATTTTGATTACTTTGTCTTTAAAAGCATATAATTTAAATTTACGGGTTTTTAATAATTGTATAATAATAATCTATCTTGTTATTGTTTAATTGCTAACATACTTACATTGCTATTTTAGTCCTACAGGCGCTTAGTAACTATTCATTTATTTGAAATCATTTTGTGTTTATGCATACCTTTCTCTTGGTTTATTTCATTGAAAAAAATAAAGAACATAAAAGGAACATTTATTTGGTTTATATTTTAGAACATTTTGAGCATCCTACCAGAAAATATACAGGTGGCCGGGCTGCAACGTATACGGTGCAGCCCGGCCACAAACAATTTCTTTTTAAACAAGATATATTTGTGGTACATTTAATCTATTAATTGGTACAGCAAGAACAATAACAGAACATTTAATTGATACGTCTATAAATTACGAAATCGACTGTGGCCGGGCTGCAACGGAACACACCTGCGTTTGGAGAGGAGACTGCTAATGAACGCACCGTGATTTTTTTGTTTTAAAGGCTTTCGTAACATCGTCTTGAAGAGTTAACCATATTGAAGACCGCCACACAGGTGAATAACGGTGAATTGAAGGAGATGGTGGAAGCCGATCTGAGTCAAACTACCCAGGAATTAGCGGCATGTTTTAACGTGACCCTACCTACAATATTGAGTCATTTGCATCAAATGAATAAGATAAAAAATACGAAACCTGAACCAACTATACCAACTCGTCTAGCCAGCGTGGTATGGTAGGCCAAAACCTCCTTTCCAAGGAGAGACCTATGTCTCAAAGTGGAATATTACAGGCAATTGAGGTGAGGAGGTGAGGAATTTTCCCATCTCATTAGATTTTATTTACAAATTACTAAAGTGCCTGGTTGAGGATATTAGGTTTCGTTAAGTTCAATCTGCATTCTCTATCGCATATATCATGGAGAATGCTCCTAGGAATTGTTCGGTACCAGCCGCAACTTTTCGCCATCGTTCCACACGGCCAAATTTTGATCCTCATCACCTGGATAGTTGGCGCTCCACTACTGTGCACCTTTCGGGACACTTTTTAGCAATCACAACCAATCTGTGGAACGGGTTATCATCACATCATCATCACATCATCATCACATCAACAGCCTTTAATAGTCCACTACTGGACATAGGCATATTAAACGGGTTATCGTCTGCGGTATTTCCGGACCTAGACGATCTTAAAGAAAAGAGCGTACTCATTCCTAAAAGGCCGGCAACGCGTTTGTGACTCCTGAGTAGCAGACGTTCATGGTCGGCGATGGTCACTTTCCATCTGGTGTACCCGTCTACTCGTCTGTCCCCTCTAACATAAAAAAGAGGTACTAAAATTATATATTAGTTGACAAAATAACGATTTTCATGAACCTCCACACATCTAAGAATTTAGACGTCATCATCAACAGCCTTTAATAGTCCACTGCTGGACATAAACCTCTCCTTAGAAAGGAGGTTTTGGCCTACTATACCATGCTGGCCAGACGGGTTGGTATAGGGTTTGTGTCAAGTTTAGCCGTGAGTGTATGTAACTATTTATGATATTTGTATATGTACATATATGACATAATAAAACATAATTATATATCTTTAGAATTATTATTTCAAATCAGTTACATTACAATTTAAACTGAACAGAAATTATAGGTACACGTAGGTACTTAAATCGACTATTCATGTACATGCAAGGAATGATCTTTACATGGTAAAGTAAAATGGAGTCGCTGCCGGTTCTTGTACGATTAGATCTTTCAAACTACGCAACGAATAGCCAATGTAATGCAGTTTTCATCAAAAGGTATAGTGATTTAAGGTGAAGGTTTACATGTTATAAGAGAAAGAATCCGAGAAACCCGAAAAAAAAATGTTGTTGTGTGCTTCCATTACAAAAGCATGCAATAATGTACTACCAAATTGTATATCTTACAAATATCTGATTAAGATAGTCCACAGTAACCGTATCTATCTTTTAGATATAACAAAAAAATTATGCGTTATTTATGAAGGTATTTGTAACATCATCATCATCATCATTTCAGCCACAATAACTAGTGCTATGCTGCCAGCATCTAACGGCTTTCCGCAGCCTTCACCAGGTCGTCGGACCATCTTGTAGGGGACTACCCACGCTACGTTTGCCAGTATGCTGGCCACTCGAGAACTTTGTGGCCCCATTATTTGCCCTTATTTGTTGTCACGGTTACTAACCACTAGTAATGTAATGGTTACCCTAAAACTTAAAAGAAATGCAATATTCATCATCATCATCATCATCAACAGCCTATAACAGTCCACTGCTGGACATAGGCCTCTCCTTAGAAAGGAGGTTTTTTCCTACTATACCACTCTAGCCAGACGAGTTGGTATAGGGTTTGTTTCAAGTTTTCCTTCTCCTTCAAGTTTTCCTTCTCTTAAAGAAATTGCAATATTAGATTTTAAATACTATAAATAGTTTTAAACGGAAATTTGGCATAAGCTTGCCACATATACATGAGATTAAAATTATAATCAGGCACATGTGGACGACAAATTCGCCTCCGTGTACCGCTTCGAAGATAAAAACGTAAGTTTAAATGTGTAGTGTATATATCTAAATTACAGATATTTAAAAATTAAATTCAGTAATATATCAGTCTAGTTATTTATTTACAACTGATACCGGCCTCTCTGGAAACTTCCACAATACGTTTTGTCGCTAATTCTTTTCCTAAAGTTACTTCTCTAATTTTAGATGTTTAGCACAAACGGCGTGAAGGGAACCCTGAAGGGCCATGGCCGGAGTTGCCCTAGTCATGGAGCGGAGTCGGCAGCTGGGTATCGAGGTGGCTCTGCACAAATCCGAGGCCTTGTTCTTTCATGGGTCTCGTCTTTAGCACAAAAAAACAAGGCGTAAACTTCCAAGATTACTTAGACCATCCTTATTCGTCCTTATCGCAATAAATACATTTGAAGCTGACATGACACGTACAGAAATTATGGTTTAGGTTAGTATTAAAATTATGTATTATAAGTATTATTATGTTTTATAAGTATTGCTTCGCTATTGTATTAGGTTTGTAACCTGTGATAATAGATGTAAGTTTGATCATAAATAAATAAACGTCAGAACTATAATTTTCAGGTTCCTGGAGACCGCTATTAAAAAAAAATGGTGTAGTGCGGCCAGCATCACGATATACGTCTCAGAGAAAGTGCCTGGCAGGGATGCGGACTGTCTAAGACCGGGATAGTTGGTACTCCTTGCGGCAGGCCCTCGTTCAGCAGCAGGGGTGCTGGGCTAGAAAACCTCCTCGTGGTGCACCCTGGAAACGCTGGCGATGGTACTGTTTCCTCCTTGTCCTCTTGGAGGAGAGGATTATCGCCAGCGGCCAATATTCTAGCAGAAGAGGCAGCCGTTCATTGGCTCTCGGGCAAGGCCTGGTCCAGCAGGGTGGGCGTGTCTGCCGGTTGCCCTGCTGGCTCTTCGCTCTTCGGAGCATGGAGGAGGAAACCTCGGTAAAAAACCTGATGGCGGGGCCCTGTAGGGGCCACAGTTTCTCCGCTGATAGCGGTGGAGAAAGGAGGACGGGCTCGGCGTGTACTCACACTACCACCGAGCAGGCAGGGGGACGTAGTCTCCCTGTCAACCGTCGGCATATCGTAATCCCGAGAAGAGCGCTGTGGTTAAGTCTCGCGGCTCTGATCGGGGGCGAGGGTCTTGGCTTAACCGCCCGGACCGCGAGGAAGATAACCTCTCTAAAAAATTCCCCGAATCCCGTGTTCTGGTGCGTGGCCAGGGGATGCATGGCTGATGGGAAGTTCAGTCGCGAGCGCACTCCAAGCCGAGGTACCTGCGGACCCCTCGGTTGGGTTAAAAATTTACGGGTGGACCTTTAGTTCTCCCCCAATCGTGGGATTTATTATGGATCATAACAACAAAAATATAAAGAAACGGCAACCAATACAAACCAAACAGAAACAGGCAAGCAAAACGGACTCTGATACGAAGGAGAAGAGGAACAGTGGAGTGGATATGATATGATACTGAGCCGTAAAGGGAGAGGAGCTAAGCTTACAAAGTGTTACATTTGTTTATTCATTTGCTTTATTACGCGCGCAATACACTTAGAAGTAGTATCGAGTCTCAGTACAAACGATTACTTACTTTCTTTAAAACGATTTATTTCTCGTCGAGGGAAACCTATCGAAATATTTAGCGATAATGGTAGGGTTTTTGTTGGTGCTGAAAAGGAATTGTCTTCCTTTTTGCAAAATAATAGTCCACAACTCATTGATTATGCCGCTAATGATGGCATAAAGTTAATTTTTATTCCACCATACGCACCTCATTTTGGGGGTATGTGGGAGGCGGGGGTCAAATCATGCAAATATCACCTTAAACGGGTTTTAGGAAATAGTAATATGACATATGAGGAATTTAGCACTGTTCTTACTCAAATCGAAGCCATACTAAATTCTCGTCCTATGCACCCATTATCCTCTGATCCCAACGACCTCCTTCCTCTTACTCCTGGTCATTTCCTTATTGGCCGGCCTCTGACCGCTCCACCGTGCGAAGACCTGACGACGATTCCAGCGCCCCGTTTGATGCGATACGACCGCATAGAACAAATGAGGCAACATTTTTGGCAGCGCTGGTCGAAGGAGTATGTTTCTGAGCTTCAGACTCGCACCAAGTGGAAGATCCACCAAGCTGACATCGCACTAAACACTCTAGTGCTCATCAAAGAGGAGAACTTACCACCTCTCAAATGGCGATTGGGCCGCGTCGTGCACACCTACCCTGGCAAGGACGGAGTATCACGAGTAGCAGATATCCTGACAACAGCTGGCATAGTACGACGCGCCACTTCGAAAATCTGTCCTCTCCCACTGCTGCCGCCGGAGATAGAAGACAGCAAGACGGTCAATCCTTAATATTTTGAAAGCCTGCTGCTTCCAAAGGCGGGGCCATGTTAACGCCATCTATCGGCGTTAATTAAAAAACGACAACCATCGTGAAGCTCGCGAGCGCGACGCGACGAACTTCACTCTCTCTCATTTTGTTACTCGCTTGTTAATCATATTCATATATACAATGTTAAATTCATTTCGCTATTAAACGTATTGAAAATCAATAATAAACGTATGTCATTGAAGAGCAACACCATTACGAAAGGATCCTGGCCTCAACAATAAGTAAGAAAAAAATATTGTAAGTCACTAGCAAATTTGTAGCGACATGTTGTGTTTGCCTTTAAATGTTTGTTATAATAATTTTGTGTCAATTATGAATGATGTAATGGAATATTAAGTATATTTGTGTACATGAACGTTGGCGAACCTTAATAAATAAACATAACACGTAAAACTCGTTGACTTAAAGCCAATTTAAGTTTATTCTAAGCTACCGCAGCGCCACCCTTATTGGACACTTCTCGTACACAGAGGTGGTTTTCCTTGCCTATACCCACCATAGGTATAAGCATCATTGACATTATATCAACAACAGCCTTAACTAGTCTACTGCTTGACATAGGCCTCTCCTTCACATCAACAGTCTTTAACAGTCCACTGCTGGAGACTAGCCTCTCCTTAGAAAGGAGGTTTTGGCCTACTATACCACGCTGGCCAGACAGGTTTGTATAGGGTTTGTGTCAAGATTTCCTTCCCTCTACAGTGATGTGGTTCTGCGTAGTTTTTTCCCTTACTCGGCTCTTACGACACCCTCGGGGTGAATAGGGGTGGTGAAACTCTGTATTCTTAATCCGTCACCACACGGCCTCTCCTTAGATAGGAGGTTTTGGCCTACTATACAACGCTGGCCAGACGGATTGGTATAGGGTTTGTTTCAAGTTTTCCTTCTCTTTACAGTGCTGTTGTCCTGCGTAGTTTACTCCCTTAGTCGGCTCTTACGACACTCACGGTAAGAAAAGGGGTGGCGACAATCTGTATTCTTAATCCGTTACCACACGGATAATATTACCTATAAATAATACCTATCCAATACCGTCCCACATCATGTGATAGATAAATTTTAAAATTATAACATCCCTTCTTTAAAGGTACTAGAGGTACCCTAAAAAGAATGGTTTTCAAGATTTAATTTTACCCATTTTGTGTACGTGATTAGTACGTATGTTCATGCAAAATTAAAGGTTTCTAGCACTCTATAGTTTGTGTGATAAAGACATACGGACGGACGGACATGATGAAACTATAAGCATTCCGTTTTTACCATTTTGGCTATGGAACCCTAAAAAATATATATATTTTGAGGAAACTTGATAAGATATTTACAATACGCTACGACTATGAAGCGGTGCAGTGACTATAATTAAAGTAGGTACAACCGCAAGGAACAGCTATTGCAGGTTATAATATTATTTTTTGAAGTCGGTTAAAAATTAAAAACACGTATTTAAAAAAAAATGAAACCCGACTGCAAAAAGACCATTTAAAAGTTATGCGCGAAAAACACCGTCACAGCACGCCGTCACATAAACGTGGCAGCATTAAGTATTAAATTTAAATATTTTTAACTTATATGAATATTTGTGATGCCCTTTTAATTTTCTTGATTTTGATACCCTGCTCAATAGGTTAGGTAATTTTTTTTTCAGTAACCTATTAAGTACTATTGTGCGCCGATACTTGGGTATTTGACACAAATAAATGTCGAAATCCATCCAGCCATCTGAAAGCTCCGAGGTAATAAAGAAATTTACAAACACACATACAAGATACGCGTAATAATACGGGTGAAAAAAAGAACACATGGTTAAATTATTAATGTATTTTTCTACAAGCCATTATGACAAAAAAAATTGATTAATAAATGATCCAAAACATATGAATAACAATACAAACTCATACAAACTCCAGAAGCGTTTAGTTTATTATGTGGCTCGCGTTTTGTTTATGCTCCGAACTGCTCTTGATTTTTCTGGCAACATTTCTGCAAAAACATAAAAAATGTCACACATCATATATATGTCAGCCTTCAATAATCCAGGACATATGCCTCTCCGTAGAAAAGAGGTTTTGGCCTACTATACCAGGCTGGCCAGACGTGTCGCTATAGGGTTTGTGTTAAGTTTTCCTTCTTTTTGCAGTGCTGTTGCTGTTGTCCTGCGTAGTTTGCTTCCTTAGTCGACACCTCTTACGACAACCTCGGGATGAATAGGGATTGTGACATTCCATATTCTGAATCCTTGTGGTGACCGATTCGGATGTAAAAATGCGTGTAAAAATGTTGGCTTGATTTTTATTTATTATCTGTCCATTTAGGTATAATTGCAGTCTATGATAATGAAAAAACATTTCGTCTTTGTCCATATCATCTACTAGCCTTTGCCCAAAGCTTCGCTCGTGTCTAGATTATTTCTTACCTCGTTTTTCTAACTAAAATGGCTAACTTCTATACCACCGTTCATCGATTATTTTACCTCCTCAGGGGTAACATTGCCAAAAGTCCTTAAAACATATAATCATCTGTTAAAATGTCAGGTTTCTAGCCACAGCGGGTTAAGCTCTACATTGATGAAGTACAATATTGTAAGTTCCATTAACGTTATAGGGGGCAAACTATTGCTGTCAAGCAGGATATATCAGGAGTTTTGACGTTAATAGGAGTCAATATCGAAAAAAAGTAGAAGAGATAGCTCGTGGCTGCAAGGTTAAGTAAACACATTCCTAGGGAGTTGAGTCTTTGGATGGGTGCCCACTCTTAACACATTGAGACCATTACGTGCCTCGGAAAGCACGTTAAACCATCAGTCCTGGTTGACATACGAACACTTGTTCCCGAAAAAGTCCGACAACTTTTTTTACAGAACTTGGATATCGCTTAGTACTTGGGTTGTGGAAATCGAAGTTCAGCCGTATCGTAGTAAACTTAAAGCTGACCCAACTTAGTTTGGGGAAAAGTTCGAAAGAAGCCAAAAGTGAAGGCATTGACAGGAAGGTCATTTTCTTTTTTGGATGTAATGGGGAATGTAAATATTATCCAGATCAGGGTAATTTGTAACTCGAGTTGGCTATCGCCGTAAAGTCAGAGACCTCTACCCAATTACCATGTTATAAATTAATTAAATTCACTGTTATCCGAAGTAAAAGGCATGCTTCGGGATACAAAAATTGATGCTATCAAGCAAAATAAAAAAGTAATATACATTATATGGCAACACTAAAATGACGTATATATGTATAAATATAGCTGACAAACTTCAAAATGTGTCTCTTAAGGCAAAATTCGGAACGTGGTATTAGAGTGACAGGTGTCATTCTGACTGGACGTCACAGGTCGGGGCAGCCATTTTGTACTGCATAACTGCACAACTTACAGAATTTTGTTTTGGACGAATCGTTATTCGCTCATTTCCGACGCGGTCGTTAAAGCTATTCCACTTGTTTCACATGCGTTTAATTGACAGTGATTAAGAACGGGAGAATAGGTTGGTATTGCCTGATTAGATAACTACCTACCCTCATGTATGACGAAGCTTTACCGAGATTGGCCGCCCAGTTTCTACATACTATTAAAAAGTTCATTGACTAAAAAGTATTACCATATGCAAGTTCACGGCCGAGTCTTGGCGAAAAGTTCACGATCCTGCCAAATCCTGAAAAATATTTGGTCCTGCGGTTCATTTGCTCTGCATCAGAATGATTTCTGTGGAGAAAGTAAGATTTGTCAAGATAATTATAGTGGAAGGTGTACGAGTACTAAAATAAATAGAGAATCTGTATTGTTATAATAACAACCTCCCTGATGCCAATCTAGGCAGAGCCTGTACTATGGTAACCTGACTACCTAGCTTAAACCTAGTACTCATTCAAAATATATTTCTAAACACATACAAACAGATAAATTACGCTTGACATACAAGCTTGCGGAACCTCGGGCAATAGTATATTATAAATGTGTTTGTCAATTTGTTTGTTACGCTTTTACGGCTAAACCACAAAACCGATTTAAAAAATCGGTCACCAATGGAAAGCTACATTATACCGCGAAAACCCCTCCCCTTTTCGTGTTCATTTACATCGATGATATACATATATATAACAAATTTTGAAATGTAAAAGCTAAGGGTTTTTAAACACTTACATAATTTGGACAGTTGGTGCATCGGCCATTCCGTTAGAGAGTCGTCTGCCAAGTCGAGAAATAAACTCTGCGTTTTCGGTCATTCTTTCTTCATCGGGCGATAGGATGCGACCTAGTTTCATTGTATAAATTACTTTTCTCTTCATGACAAACCTAATTAAAATTCATTATTGCCAGTATCTTTATTCTGTGCGTTCTTGCCATTCTTCTGTGCGTGTATATGTACTGAACTCCTCCTAAACAGCTGCATTTGCAGCCGATTTTGATAAAAGAATTTTGTTTGTGTTCAAGCGGATTCGAGAATGGTTTAGATTCACAATTCAGTCCACTACAAAATGATTGTTAGTCTACGACCTATGGGAGCAGAGAACCAGAAAAATGTTGCAAAAAATGGGGCAAGTTCTTTCTCGGATAAAATTCGTTTTCAGACACAGATGAAGTTGCGTATGTCAGCTAGTAATTATGTATTTGAATCATATAAGGGGAACCGTGCAGACAAATCATCAGTAAGTGGTAAGTGGATACCATAGCAACCCATGGACATTTGTGACTTAAGAGTTGCAAGTGCATTGATGGCCCTTGATTGTCCTTGCCAGAATCAGGGAGGAGAGTTTCTCTGTTAACGCACTCACTTGGTGGAATACTACTTAAAGAATCGGATAAAGACGGTTTATTACAAAGCTCTGGTGTCACTTCGGTAAAGTCCATTGGTGCTGAAGAATGGCTGTCCCAAAGTCAGACAAATTGACTTCAAAAATACGACCTTTTTCATTTGAGTATTTCTAAGACGCCTGACTTGTATCGGGGCCGTTCCTACTTCACGTTTGCTTTGTAATTTTAAAAAACAATATTTACCTTTAGTTTCTGATTCCGTAGCTCTATCCTTCACCTCACTCCTTCCTCCACTTCCTTTATAATCACGGTAATAGTTGATCGTATCAGCAGCCTCCAGTAGTTTGTAAAGTGCTTGCCTGTTGAAGAATTAACATGGAGATTTTGAACGACCTCTTTTTCACTTATGGTAATTGCTCTTCTTCTAAAAGACGTGATGTTATTTAGTATATAACCCTGCTCAAGAATTTGTCTAAGTATTCAAAATTCAAGTAGCCAACGACAGAGCACAGCGCGATTGACCCAAAACAAAAAAGAAATGAAAATCAAGTTTCCATCTGTTATATCAATTATAAATCTCTTAAAACTGCCAGGTGGAGGAGTCAGTCATAAGAAGACAGTCGTAAAGCCACTTGCTACTACTGATACTACTACTACGGATACTCTACAGTTATGCCATGAAACCATAAAGTCGCTGGGTAAAACTATTACATGTCGCCTACGGATATTTCTTACTCTTGAGATAATCAACAGCCTTTAGTAGTCCACCACTGGACATAGGTCTCTCCTTAGAAATGAGATTTTAGCCTACTATACTATGCTGGCCAGACGGGTAAGTTTATTTATGTATATTTAGGAGGCTTATTTGTTCTCTTATTCGGCTCTTACGACAACCAAGAGAAATAGGGGTGGTGACACTCCGTATTCTTAATCCGTCACCACACGGACATTCTTGAGCTTAAATTTCAGTATATTACCTGTTGTCTTCGGTGGATTGACTTGGAGATCGCTTGCCTAGTCTTGGTCCAAACCACAAGGGTCCACTGCCGTCACCGAATGATCCTTGGTCCTGCACAGCGTGATAAACAAAACGAAATTCATTAATCTATCATCACGTTCCTGTTCTCATCCCAATTTTATTCGGTATTGACTTAAAACTAACTGGCTACCTTAGTCTCTATAATCAAGAAGGAAATCTCACAAAAGCTAACCATGCTATTTTATGTTAACGCCAAGCCACTTTCATTCCATTGACACGCTATTGAGATGTCATTGGCATCGGTAAAAACATCAGGATTCTGCTAACATAAATTCACAGTGTCAATAGACTGTCGATATAGTAATATAGGTCATCAATGGTGATATCAACAACATTGCCATATCGGGCAAATTAAATTTATTATTTTCTAACGATTTTACCGTGTACCAAACTATTACAAATACATCGACGACATTTGTATCAGTGGCAGTTCAGTGACAAGTGACATCCTTTGGCCATTGGTCTTACGAGTATATAGTTAGTAGAATACGAAAAGTGCAAAACTATTCCGACGACATTCAATCTACAATCTATTGATACAATATTAGAATAACAGAATTGAGGCCCTGAATAGATCGCACAGCGGTGTAAAGCGCGTCCCGGACACTACAAGGATCCGCATGTAAGTCATCGCCCCTGTCGCCGGTCACCCCGATCTGGCCCTCCCCAGGGTTCACCTGGGTGTTTCATCTGGCTCAGAAGACCACATCCAATTAATCATTGGAAATAAGCCCACCAGATACTATCACCTAGAGGTCTTATAGGAGGATCACAGTATTATGCAGGAGACACACTACCCCATTATTAAGGCAAAAAGCTTACCTTCATATTGTCATTATCCGTAGCTAAAACATAGCTGACCAACGCTAATACGATAGGAAAACAGATTTTTTCTAAGCTATGCATCTTGTTCGAAGGATGAAGATGGACTGACGGTTTGAGAATACTTTGGGCAATTTATATACTATGAACTAAATGGAAATTTGATGTAAATGAGGGTAGAATGACACCATTTGGATTAGAAAATATAGAGCTATTATTGAAATAGATTTATTTACTCTGGATGCTGGAAATGTGTGGGTTTTTGTACGTGTTTAGTATTCACAGTGTTGCTCAGATATTTATTATAATAATTTTTGTTGTGCAGCACTGTATTGCATATATTGTATGTGTGTGTGTTATTTTTATATCCCTTATTCATGAGAAATTATATACATACAATTTTACCCCTTTTTCTGAGATGCAGCCGTTAACAATTTTATATTTTAATTCTTAAAACTATATTATATGTTCATCGACAGCCTTTAACAGTCCACTGCTGGACATAGGATTCTCCTTAGAAAAGAGGTTTTCACTTACTATGCCACATAAAACAGCCCTGATGCATAAAAGTGTCGTATGTAAGGCGCCGTTGATATTTAACAAAATTCCCAAATATATTAAGATCTTGGACATGAATGAATTTAAGACGAAATTTAAAACATTATTAGCTGAAAATTGTTATTATAGACTAGAGGATTTCTTGAATGACAACACTTTATAACCATAATGATATAATGTATCATTGATGATTTTTTGTATGATTGATGGATTATTGATTGCAGTAAATATATTTATGTTGAATATTGAATGTTTTAGATTAAATAAATTAATGTAGACGGTTAATAGTTGATAATGTATATCTATAACCATGATATTCGAGTCCTTTCGTTGTAATTGTTTTTTCTTCTTTTTTTGATTTTTTAAAATGTTTTTAAACGATTTTATGTTACATGTAGAAAAATGCTATTGTTAAATTAATTTTATATTTGTACACCGGTAACGGTCAAACATGTCGATCAGGCAATATTACTTAACATCTTTAATGTACACATGTTTATGCAAATAAAATATCTTGTATCTTGTATCTTGTATCACGCTAACCAGATGAGTTGGTATAGGGTTTGTTTCAAGTTTTCCTTTTCCTTGCAGTGCTTTTGTTCTGCAGTTTGGTCCCTTAGTCGGCTCTTACAACACGTCGACACCCACGGTATGAATAGGGGTGGTGACACTCCGTATTCTTAATCCGTCATAGGATGGACAAATTATAGTTATGTTAGCGTTTCTATAATATGGTACATAAGTTCTATGTACAAGACCTGACACAAAGACTTAATAATATGGGTTAAAATATGAAATTGCCGTTGTACAGTAATAGATACTTTGAATTTATATAAAACTAGCTGAGACCCGCGGTGTTACCCGCGTTTGTTGTCATAACCGCGGGCAACGCCACGGGGCGTAGCTAGTCTAAAAAAAGTAGCCTAAGTTACTCCTTATGTCATCAGCTATCTGCCAGTGAAAGATTAGATTATCCGGAACAAACAGACAGACAGATAGACAGACAGACAGACAAAAATTGTAAAAAATGTTATTTTGGCATATGTGCCGTGTAAACATACATATGCATTTACTAAAAAGCGATTATTTTAATATTACAAACAGACACTCCAATTTTATTTATTTGTATAGATATTCATGGTGTGTATTTCCAGCAGTGGACTTTTAAAAGCTGTTGATGTGATGATGATTCATGGTGTGAGATTTTCGTGTGAAACTTTTTTTCACAGGATACCTATCACGGTTCTTCTTGTAAAAAAAATAATGTGCAATGTGTTTTTTTTTATTCAGCTTACACGTGAAAAATGTATGAATGAAATTACTAAAGTGCCTGGTTAAGGATGTTAGGCTGTGTTAAGTTCACTCTGCATTCTCTATCGCATATATCATGGAGAATGCTCCTAGGAATTGTTCGGTACCAGCCGCAACTTTCCGCCATCGTTCCACACGGCAAAATTTTGATCCTCATCACCTGGATAGTGGGCGCTCCACTACTGTGCACCTTTCGGGACACTTTTTAGCCCGCACAACCAATCTGTGGAACGGGTTATCATCTGCCGTATTTCCGGACCGATACGATCTTAAAGAAAAGAGCGTACTCATTCCTAAAAGGCCGGCAACGCGTTTGAGACTCCTGAGTAGCAGACGTTCATGGTCGGCGATGGTCACTTTCCATCTGGTGTACCCGTCTACTCGTCTGCCCCCTCTAAAATAAAAAAGAGGGACTAAGATTATATGACAAAATACCGGCGTTTCATGAACCTCCACACATCTAAGAATTTAGACGTGAGTGTATGTAGCTATGTATGTATTTGTATAAGTATATCTATACAAATAAATAAAATTGGAGTGTCTGTTTGTAATATTAAAATAACCGCTTTTTAATAAATGCATATGTATGTTTACACGGTACATAATGTACCATTTAAAATTTTTTTGTCTGTCTGTTTGTTCCGGGTAATCTCTGGAACGGCTTTACCGATTTCGACGGGACTTTCACTGGCAGATAGCTGATGACATAAGGAGTAACTTAAGCTACTTTTTTAGACTAGCTTCGCCCCGCGGCGTTGCCCGTGGTTATAACAACAAACGCGGGTAACACCGCGGGTCTCAGCTAGTGACATAATAAAACATAATTATATATTTTTAGAATTATTATTTCAAATCAGTTACATTACAATTTAAACAGAACAGAAATTATACACGAACTTAAATCAACTATTCATGTACATGCATGTAATGATCTTTATAGTATGGTATATCTATGGTATCTTTATCTAATTGGAGTCGCTTCCGGTTCTTGTACGCTTAGATCTTTCAAACTACGCAACGAATAGCCAATGTAATGCAATTTTCATCAAAAGGTATAGTGATTTAAGCTGAAGGTTTATCTTATATATAAAATTCTCGTGTCACAATGTTCGTTCCCGTACTCCTCCGAAACGGCTTGACCGATTCTCATGAAATTTTGTGTGCACATCGGGTAGGTCAGAGAATCGGCCAACATCTATTTTTCATACCCCTCAATGGTAAGGGTGGCCCATCCCTAAATTTTTTTTGTTTTGCAATACGTTTGCCGGGTCAGCTAGGGTGACCGACGCCTATTTTTTTTTTTCATTTTTTTTTTTTTTTCAATATTTCCTAGAAATAATGTACATATATGGCAACACAACGTTTTCCGGGTTAGCTAGTATGTTATAATAGAAAGAATCCGAGAAACCCGAAAAAAAATTATGTTGTTGTGTGCTTCCATTACAAAAGCGTGCAATAATGTACTACTAAATTGTATATCTTACAAATATCTGATTAAGATAGCCCACCGTAACCGTATCTATCTTTTAGATATAACAAAAAAATTATGCGTTATTTATGAAGGTATTTGTAACATCATCATCATCATCATCATCATTTCAGCCACAACAACTGGTGCTATGCTGCCAGCATCTAACGGCTTTCCGCCGCCTTCACCAGGTCGTCGGACCATCTTGTAGGGGACTACCCACGCTGCGTTTGCCAGTATGCTGGCCACTCGAGAACTTTGTGGCCCCATTATTTGCCCTTATTTGTTGTCACGGTTACTAACCACTACGCCAGCAGGTCAGTCGTATCTTTAATGGTTACCCTAAAACTTAAAAAAAATGCAATATTCATCATCATCATCATCAACAGCCTATAACAGTCCACTGCTGGACATAGGCCTCTCCTTAGAAAGGAGGTTTTGGCCTACTATACCACGCTGGCCAGACAGGTTGATATAGGGTTTGCTGGACGAGGCGGGCAAATTGTTTGAGAGGGTTCTTTCTGCCCGCATCGTCCGGCACCTCTGCGAGGTGGGCCCCGATCTGTCGGACGCCCAATTTGGTTTTCGGGCGGGGCGTTCGACGGTCGACGCCGTGTTGCGCCTGAGGGCCGTGACCGAAGAGGCCGTGAGCTGTGGCGGCGTGCTGTTGGCGGTGTCATTGGACATCGCCAACGCATTCAATAGTCTGCCATTCAGCTGCATCAGGGGAGCCACTATCATGGGGTGCCAAAGTACCTGAAGCGGCTGGTGGCAGACTATTTAGAGGAGCGTACCGTCGTGTACGAGGACCGAGAAGGTTATTTGAGGTGTCGGCCCATGTCGTGCGGTGTTCCACAGGGGTCTGTTCTTGGACCCCTCTTGTGGAACATAGGGTACGACTGGGCCCTTCGCGCCGATTTCCCCCCCGGGCTGGGTGTAATCTGTTACGCAGACGATACCCTGCTGACAGCCCGGGGGGCAAACTTCCAAGAGGCGGCGCGCCTGGCCACAGGGGGAGTGTCCCTGGTGGTCGGGCGCATTGAGGCGCTGGGCTTACGGGTGGCCCTAGATAAGACGGAGGCCCTGTTATTTCATGGGCCCCGTCGTGGTCCACCCCCTGGCGCCTCCATCGTGGTCAACTCGGTCCTCGTACCGGTTCGGGCCCAGATGAAATATCTGGGCCTGATCCTCGACGGGAGGTGGCTCTTCGACGAGCACTTCCGACAGCTTGCTCCAAAGCTGGTCGGCGCTGCGTCTGCCCTAGGGCGACTTTTGCCCAATATGGGTGGACCCAGCGTCGCGACAAGACGGCTGTACACGGGGGTTGTCCGGTCAATGGCACTGTACGGTGCACCGGTGTGGGCGGCGGCTCTGACCGCCCAGAATAGGGTACGCCTCTGGCGCCCTCAGAGGGTAATGGCGGTCAGAGCCATACGCGGTTACCGCACCGTTTCAACGGAGGTGGCGTGCGCGTTGGCCGGAACTCCCCCGTGGGATTTGGAGGCGGAAGTGCTCGCCGAAGTTTATCGGCGAGTGGCTGACTACCGGGCGGAGAGCGGATTTCGCCCTCCGCCCGAGGATGTGCGCGAGTGGCGCGAAGCCGCTCGCCGAGCCACGATGGCTCGTTGGTCGTTCCGGCTGGAGACTCCACGCGCTGGCTTCGCCGCCGTGGAGGCTCTCCAGCCGGTCATCGCCGAGTGGGCAGGGCGGCAGCACGGGACCCTTTCCTTCCGGCTGACGCAGGTGCTTTCCGGGCACGGTTGCTTCGGAAAGTACCTGCACACGGTCGCTAGGAGGGAACTGAGTCCCGCCTGCCACCACTGCGACTGCAGTGAGGACTCGGCCCAGCACACGCTGGCGGTCTGCCCCGCATGGGCGGCGCAGCGCCGGGCCCTCACTGCAGTCATCGGAGTGGATCTCTCGCTACCGGCCGTAGTACGCTCCATGGCCGGTAGCGACAGTTGTTTTACCGCGGTCGCAACCTTCTGCGAGGTAGTAATCTCGCGGAAGGAGGCGGCGGAGAGGGCCCGGGAGGACGACCTCCACTCGGACCCGATCCGAACCGGGCGGCGGAGGCCCGCCTACCACAGCCTCATGCCGCCCTGAGTGTGGCCGCGGGTGGACGGGGTGGGTTTCCCCTCCACCCGCATTAGTTTGGCCAGCCGCGAGGGGGCGGCGTCCGCGTGTGCCGGACGTCGCCTATAAAGAGAGGAAAAACATCGAGACGGAGCCCGCACCTGGAGCGGGCTGGCGCTAGGAGGGGTCCGGATGTCTTAACAACAGCTGTTCCCGGATCCCTCCTGTTACAGGCGCAGAGTGGCACACCGTGTGGTTTTAGTCGGTCCGAGTCCGACACACCACCCCGCCGCAAACCCCGGAGGGGTGACGGTCCGAGGGGATTTCCACACGTTAAAAAAAAAAAAAAAAAAAAAAAAGGGTTTGTTTCAAGTTTTCCTTCTCTTTCAAGTTTTTCCTTCTTCTTAAAGCAAAAATTATTTTTCCTTTTTTCTTTCCTTCTCTTAAAGAAATTGCAATATTAGATTTTAAATACTATTAATAGTTTTAAACGGAAATTTGGCATAAGCTTGCCACATGGGATTAAAATTATAATCAGCCGCATGTTGACGACAAATTCGCATCGGTGTACCGCTTCGAAGATAAAAACGTAAGTTTAAATGTGTAGTAACGTAACGTAACGTAACGTAAACGTAAGTTTAAATGTGTAAATGTGTAGTGTATATATCTAAATTACAGATATTTAAAAATTAAATTCAGTAATATATCAGTCTAGTTATATATTTACAACTGATACCGGCCTCTCTGGAAACTTCCACAATACGTTTTGTCGCTAATTCTGTTCCTAAAGTTACTTCTCTAATTTTAGATGTTTAGCACAAACGGCGTGAAGGGAACCTTGAAGGGCCATGGCCGGAGTTGCCCTAGTCATGGAGCGGAGTCGGCAGCTGGGTATCGAGGTGGCTCTGCACAAATCCGAGGCCTTGTTCTTTCATGGGCTTCGTCTTTAGCACAAAAAAACAAGGCGTAAACTTCCAAGATTACTTAGACCATCCTTATTCGTCCTTATCGCAATAAATACATTTGAAGCTGACATGACACGTACAAAAATTATGGTTTAGGTTAGTATTAAAATTATGTATTAAAAGGATAATTGTGTATTATAAGTATTGCTTAGCTATTGTATTAGTTTTGTAACCTGTGATAATAGATGTAAGTTTGATCATAAATAAATAAACGTCAGAACTATAATTTTCAGGTTCCTGGAGACCGTTATTAGGAAAAAATGGTGTAGTGCGGCCAGCATCACGATGGACGTCTCAAAGAAAGTGCCTGGCAGGGATGCGGACTGTCTAAGACCGGGATAGTTGGTACTCCTTGCGGCAGGCCCTCGTTCAGCGGTGGACGGCGATAGGCTGATGATGGTAGAAAAAAAATATATTTTCATCCCATTAAGTTCTAAGCTGTCGTGTTACTTATAAACCACCTAATAGAAAATCATTTAGGATTTCAATAATAAGTTGCGAAAGTTCTTGATCCTTGGGTTGAAAGGACTAAAACAGAGCCTTAAAAAGGCTCTGTGCTGGCTATATGGTTAGCTATGGGTGCGATATTCTTCACATGCAACATTTGATAATAGAATTACGGATGATTTGCATGGGTTTATTAGCGCACAAGCTAGCTATGTAGATGTGTAAATTTTCAATAGTGTTCAAATTAAAACTATAATTTATCTCAATTTTGTCACTGACTCTCTTTCAGAGTTTTAATTATCAAATCAAAACTCTAATATACTTCTAGCAGACCTTTAAAGTGAGTAATTATAGTATATAAAAGGTGGTATAATAAATTACAAAAGGTGAAAATGAGAAATATCATCTGCAAAAAAAAACTAAACATCTCTTTTTCTTCATGAGGTCAGGAAAGTCATTCATATAGATTAGGCACAAAAATGGCCCAAATATAGAACCTTGTGGTACTCCTATATTTACCACTGGCCCCAGAGATAGCTTTTCAGTCAGTAACATCAACTTTCTACATCTAAGATAAGAAGTAATTAAATATAGAGATTCCATTGGGTTAGTTCTCTACATGGGACAACACTTTGTGTGATCCACGAATTGTCGTTCTGAGTCTGGGTGTTCTTTGTGTCCGTTTCATGTATGTTTATAAAGTCACAAGTACAGGATATATTCCTAGTGCGAGAGTTGTGTTTTGATAAAAAAAAAAGTTTAGCGATGGGTCTATCATAATCAAACGCTTGGGATAAGTCACAAAAGGTACGTAGGGCTTCCTGAGTATTATTTCAGGGAACAGATATTACCGATCGAACCCACGATCTCTGACTTCAGTCAGGGTCAAAACTAGCAGTACCTTTTAGATTAAGCTTTAATGATTTCGAAAGGACTGACATATTCAAACTCAAATATCTTTCAGCTCTATCATACGTATATTTATATATATATCTATCTACCATTTCAGTAAAATCAAAGGGCCCGTGCTTCCCTAGCACTGAATTGTACACTTCCATCCCTAGTCACAGCACTATCCCCATAGATTGCAGAAAATATCATTCTTTAGTTTTGATTTCAGTTCAATACTTCATCGAAGTAACCTTAAAACAAATATCTATCATCATCATCATCATCATCATCATCATCATCATCATCATCAACAGCCTATAATGGTCCACTGCTGGACATACGCCTCTCCTTAGAAAGGAGGTTTTGGCTTACTATACCATTTTGGCCAGAAGTGACTTTGCTGTGTTGTTGTCCTGCGTAGTTTGCTCCCTTAGTCTGCTCTTACGACACCCATGAGATGAATAGGGGTGGTGATACTCAGTGTTTAAATCCGTCACCTCACGGACCAACAAACATCTACACAAGTTCTAATGGTAAAAAAAACTTATGTTGGGAGCCTTCTTACTTTTTTGAGTTGATAAATAACTTACCTAAAGGTAAGTAAGCTCAAAACGAAATGAAAAGGACCCATAAAAATACAACAAATTAGATTAAATTTGTTTATTAATTTCCTTATAAGCGATACTTAAAAACAATTTTTTTTTAACATTATTTCGTCCAAAATTTATTTATCTCATATAAAAACATACATTTACGTCAGACTAGCGTTTAGTTACTCCGTGATTATGTTGAATCTGTTTTGTTGGCGCTCCGGGCCACTCTGACTTTTTCTGGAAACATTTCTGTAAAGAAAAAGGAACAACTTTACTATTTTACTAGCGTCGTCATCATCATTTTCAACTGCCTTTAGTACTCCCTTTGTCGACTCTTACGATACCCAAAGGATGAATAGGGGTAGTGATATTCCGTATTCTTCACCACACTGATAGGATAGGGATATTGGCGTAATTTAATATAAAATAATCTCTACTTTATTGAAGAATAAGCCAAGTATTGTCATGAGTAGCTCATCCAAAGCTTTTTGTATTATACTGTTTTGCTAACAGGGTATCTGTATTCATACAGAACACAGAATAGTTATTTTGTGACACGGCCCCAGGTTGGGCGCCAAAACTTCCACGTGATAATTTTCATTTGTTTAAAAGATTTGTTGACGAGATTCTTACCATAGGCAAGTTCACGACCAAGTCTTGGAGAAAAGTTCATTGTCCTGCCAAGTCTTGGGGAGAAGTATTTTGTTCTGCTGTCGATTTGTTCAGGGTCTGGCCGATAACTGTGGACACGCAAGAAATTAGAGAATATCTATATAGAATTAACCAAATAAAATAAAATAAAATTATATACTGCTATCGGAACTAAAAAGATACTGCCGGACAGAATACAAGGCTTTTCACGTTCATCGAATCTCAGAATCATAACAATAATAACTCCACACGTCTCACACAAGGCAGTCTGATCACAAACTAGACATAACCTGAACTATGGTAACCAGACTGCTGATAAACACACTTATATATGTCTAAATACATACATATTTTAGACAAATAACTCTCAGACATTGAACAACTGCTTCTCGCACAATTATTTGTACTGAATGGGAATCGAATCCACTACCTATAGCTTTGCAGTCAGGGTCACTAGCCACTAGACCAACAGGCCCGTCGAAGTCGAAGAAGATGTATACAGCATTTTTTTCTTATTAAAAATTTAAGACCACTAGGAATATAATGCTGTGTCGCAGAGAGTTACAAACACACATAAAACGGACACAAAGAATATGCAGACTCAGACTCGAACCCACAACACTCAGCGCAGTAGGAAACGGCGAGGCGACTGCTTAAACCACTACGCTATCTATGCAATATTAGAATTATATGGACTCAAGATATATTCTTAGAAATTACTTACACTTCTTGGTCGGCTGGTGTGGCGGGCATGTCATCAGACAGTCGTCTACCCAACCTGGGTGTGAATTCTACGTTCTCGTAGATCTTCTCTTCATATGGCGATAGGCTTCGTCCCAATTTTGGTGTGAAAATCACTTTTTTGGTAACTGCCAACAAAACGAATACAAATAAGTGGAAATTACATTTTCCAGTATTTTCTAACGAACATTTATGGTAATCGTGACGGTAATTGAACTCCTAAAAAGTTCGACAACAGCCTATAAGCAGAACTTCAATATTGCCTATTACTTGGGTTGTGGAGGTCAGATGGTAGTCGCTCCTCGATCGATCGAAATTTAGCCGTATCTTGAAACTGAAAGCCGACACGGAACCGAACCTAGTTTGGGACAAAGCTCGTAGGATGTGAGGATGACACTTACAAACATATATACACACATACACTCACGCCTCAATCGCGGCCTCACCAATGTACAGGGGCTTTATAACCTTTTTTAGTCATTCAAGAGATATAAAATCTATGTAACGACACTTATACAATTCACAGAGAAGTTCAAAGCTTAGAACAATTTTCACGCAAATGTTTGACTCGACAAGAACAAAAAAGTTCGTGTATTTGTTTCTGTACTTAAACAAATTAACATGGTGTATTGAATATGATGAATAAGAATACGGAATGTCAGTATCCGTATTCATGCCGTGGATGTCGTAAAAATCTACTAAGGGAACAAATTATGCAGGACAACTGCACTGCAAAGAGAAGGAAAACTTGACACAAACCCTAAACCAACCCGTCTGGCCAGCGTGGTACAGTAGGCCAAAACCTCCTTTGTAAGGAGAGGCCAATGTGCAGCAGTTGACTATTAAAGGCTGTTGATAATGATGGTTAATGAACATGGTGTACTAACCTCTGGGTTCTGGTTCGTCAGCTTGACCCTCGTAGTAGGGTAACTGGTCGTAATAATACTTCAGAGTATCCGCAGCTTCCAAAAGCTTGAAGAATGCTTGCCTGGTAAATATACAATAGAGAATATGAAGATACAGGTAATTTACATATGTAGCTTTTACCACCGCCCATGTACACATGCAGGTCCAGAGTCACCAGTGTATTGCCGCTGTGGCGACTTGCACATACAATGAAACAAAACATCCATTAGCGCCATCTAACGAAAACACAGCCAACTATATAGAGTAACTGATAATACTGTATCGCGATATAAAAAGTTCTCGCGTCGAATATCAGCATATATGCAAACTCCCACCAGCTAACATTGCGCCGCGGCACACCACCCGATAACTTGGCCGGAGGATCCTCCCTTTGTTCTCAACACCGCCGTTTGAATTTAAATCTCAGACTTATTCTTACTACTACTATTAATGGTAGACTTATTTCTAACAACCATTAAAGACAGTACCGAGCCAGTAACAACATGGTACTTTCTTCTATACTTCACCTGTTGTCTTCACTGGAGAGCTTTAAAGATCGCTTCCCAAGGCGAGGTCCGAACCACAGCTGGCCTCCTCGATCGCTGTGAGCTCTCCTATCTTGGCCAGCGTCCTAGACAAAATTACAGCATATTTTAGATAACCAGTCGAGACGGGTACTTGCTGAGGAAGCCCTCAGTCCCAACCAGGGGACATAGGACACTAAAGAAGATGTTTTGGATTATATAAGAATCATAAAAAGTTGTGCAAAGAGCTAACAACTGTTTTTAGGTAAGGAACACAAAAGTTTTTTTTTAAGGAATTTCTTTAACGATAAGAAGTAAAATATTTGATCTTTTTAGTTCTAGCACACACTCAATGGATGTAAAAAATTAATTTGAATGCATGAAGTACGAATGACACTATAGGTAAATAATATACATATGTATATTCAAAATTTTAAACTCTCACCGACATCAAAGCGTCTACCATCATTGTTAATTGTAATAAACTGTACACATTCCTTTATTTGCAACTATTTCAGGTTTCACTCAATTTCTTTGGGATCCCATCACCAAATCCTGACTTAGTCACAATGGGACCTGCTCGGTAGTATACCTAACCTTTCGATTACAAAAATAATTTTGAAAAGTAGCCGCATATTTAAAGTTAAAAAAAAAAACACAATCGAATCGAGAACCCCTATTTGAAGTCGGTTTAAGAAAATCAGGAATAATTGTAATGAATGATTTTGATTTTAGGGCCTTTATTTTTTTACAGTGTTTAAAACGAAAAAGGTCCTTAAGATCGTATCATTTCTCAAGTGATTTAGAAAATTATTTTATATTTGAATATAAGAATTGCCAAGTTTGTAAAAAAGTGTATACGAGTCACACAATGTGAAACAGATTTACCAAGGTTTACACTTTTTTACCCGGTTTGTAATAATAAAATAAATTACTTACCTTCATATCGTTTCCAGTAGCCAAAACACAGCTGACCAACGCTAAGAGAATAGCAAAACAGATTTTCTCTAAGCTATGCATCTTGTTCAAGGGTTATACACCGACTGACGCTTAGGGAGTATTTTCAGGAGTTTATATAGGAGAAATTTAATGGAAATAAAATGCAAATGAGAGGAGAATGACACAACGTGGATTAGGAAATACGGAGCCATCACTAAATGTGTTTATTTTGTTCTAAATACGACTGTGTTTGTGGGTTTCTAAACGCAGATCGGTTTTGGCCTGTATTTATAAGTTAGATTAGATTTTCCCCTTGGGTGACAAGAGACTCAATTGATATCTTCCTTTTGCGTAATAAGATGTTATTTTTTTACCCGACTGCGACAGAAGAAGGATAAAGTTTTAAACGTGAAAGTGCATTGGATTATTTGATCCCGAGTCTTAAAACAAATTAAAGAAAACATACAAGGCTTTTAGTTTTAGTGAATGTGGGTAAAAGTGAGATAGACCGATTAAACTGTGTCTCCAAGAAAGGTTTCTATTCAACTGACTATTTTTTATACCAGTAATGAACCGATTTCAACTATTAGTTTTTTACTTAATTGGTTATATTCTATGTCGATTTTATCTTAATTTGAAGAAAATATTCGACTTCTAAGGGTGAAAAGTTAAGGGATGAAGAACGGTATATTTCAATTTGTCATTAGGGTTTATTGAAGTCATTAATTTAAAAGTTTTTTTTAAGACAATGCCCGCACTAGGAATTAATCCTGTGTCGCGGGGGACTTTACAAACATAGATGAAACAAACACAAAGAACACCCAGACTCAGAACAACAATTTGTGGATCACACAAAGTGTTGTCCCATGTGGGGATCAAATCCATAATACTCAGCGCAGTAAGAAGCGGTAAGGTGACCGCTTAAAGCACTACGCCATCCGTGCAGTCCATTAGGTAATTAGCACAAGTTAGTAATAATCTGCCAAAACCTCCTTTCTAAGGAGAGGCTTATGTCCAGCAGTGGACTATTAAAGGCTGTTGATGAGTAATAATCGTGGTTTTTATAGGATTTTGTGCTTCTGATTAAGGAGTTTCGTATTAATGAGTGCAGATGTCTGAAAATATCTATTTCATCATCATCATCATTAACAGCCTTTAATAGTCCAGTTTCCGTTGGGGAAAACGAGTTCTTGAGTGGAGACCGCGTCTCGGCAAACGTAGTGTAGGACGCCCACAGGCCAGGTGGAGTGACGATTTGCGCAAGATGGCTGGCAGGAGCTGGATGTGAAGCCCAAAATCGATCTAAGTGGCGTGCAATGGGAGAGGCCTATGTCCAGCAGTGGACTGCGATAGGCTGATGATGATGATGAATAGTCCACTGCTAGACATAGGTCTCTCCTTGGAAAGGAGGTTTTCATATCATAATAATGAGAAATATCTATTTAATCTACATATATAATATTAGAAACTGACAGACTGTTTCCCTGACTGTGTGTTGATGCAAAAGCAAAAAATTTTGCACAAATGTTCCTTAGGTGACGTAGATGAGTATTAACAAAGGATTTGTTTTTTATTCTACCCCATGGGTGCAAAAATAGAGTTGCAAATTTAAGTGAAAGTTAGCTATTTTTGGTAGTAACGTTTTCAAACTTACAGTGAATACTATTTATCAAAAGTAATAAAAAAAGTTTGCAAAACGTGCAAGTATGTATAGAGAACAATTTATTATTTACTTATTGATTCCAAACTCTCAGTATAATAATATTGTCTATCAAAAAGAAAAATAATTAGACACCTATTTTTGTAACCTTTCAAAAGGTAAATATGTTTTACTTAATTACGCCAAAACGGCTTTCTGGATCTGGACGAGATTTGGCACATAGATATATTTTGGTCTAGAATAGCACATAGGCTCCAAGGCCAAACTTATTGACAAAATTGACATTTCTGCGAGTGAAGCCGTGCTAAAAAGCTAGTTTATGTATATTTCCTTTGGTCCACTAGTAGTAGGTACCTGCAAGTACTAATAGCCTACTATTTTTCCTCTCAGAAAAACCCTAGAAAATTTTGCCTGGTTCGGGAATCCGTCGTTGTTTCTTTATTTATAAATATTTGCAAAATAGGAAATTTTTAAAGTTTTTTTTCAAATAAAAAAAATCGTGCCTTTCTCATGGGAAACCTCCCAAAGTGATTGCATTAATACTGGCTATGTTATTCAATTTTGCAACATAGCACTTTTTTGCAAATCGTTTAACAAGACCCACTTAAAAAAAAAACGATAAGTCATTAACGCCGACGATTCTCAAGAAAGATAATTAAGTAAACAATTAAGTTAGTTAAAGTGCCTTTTTAATAAATAAATGGCTTTTGGCAAAAGCCAAGCCACGGACTACGCCAAAAAAATAAACTATATACTACACATCAGAGCCTATGATTAACCAAAGTTTGGTAAGCCTCCATTTATAATTGTTTATTTAAAAAATATTAAAAAAACAATGATTTTTAGCAGTTTTTTGCATGTTGTAAAAAAATAGAATAACCAATCTGAACGCACCAAGTCTCATTTTCTCATACATACATACATATACATTTCTTCGTTAAATAGTCGAGAAAAATTTATAATGTCCTAAAACTACGTTTTTGCAACTTTAACGACAAATTACAAAATAATGGCACGATATCATCTGTTGCATTTTAGTTGTATTTATCATGATGTACCAAGAGAAACCAAAATCCGTTGAAATATCTCGGTTTGCTTTTATTTTTTCAAACATTTTTCTAGTCGACTCCTTTTCCTGGTCTAACATAAATTCATTCATTCAGATGAAAGCAAAGTAAACAAATATTTATAAATAAATCACAAGGCGTCCCCTTTCGCCCTCGTTCCCCTCAGTATTAGGGCTTTAAGGGTAAATTGATACAAATCTAACAGAGAGCGTACGATTCGATACCAATTTGCGATGTCAATCTATTCTACAGAACTATTCTATAAATAAATGCACGATCCCATTGTCTTTGATCTCTCGACATTTAAAAACAATTATTTAGAGATTTTATTCAAAGGAGTGTCGTCAGTGTTTAATGCTAAATTTAATACCTTTAAACGAGCAATTCTTATATATATATATATATGTATTGAAATATATATAATCTGAATCTCGGAAACAGCTCCAACGATTTTCATGAAACTTATGAATGTGTGCAGGGGGTTTCGGGGGCGATTAATCGGTCTAGCTAGGTTTCATTTTTTGGAAAATGTACCAAAAAAAAAAAATGAGCAAAGCGCAGGTCATCCAGGTACTTATTTGTGCACCAGGGACTTCCTTTCTAGGGTATACCTGGTTCCCCGGCTATTAGTACCCGGCGACGGCGTGCGGTTTTAGTCGGTTCGAGTCCGACATGGCACCGACAGGTGGTATCCGAGGGGATTTCCGCACGAAAAAAAAAAAAAAAAAAAAAAAAGGTACTTATTTGTATAAAATGTTAACAGATTTAATAAAAAAAAACTAGTTGTATCGTGCCACGCTTTGCTGTAGCACACTGTGGTGACATTGATCTGAAATTATGAGCAAAACTAACCCGAAAAATAAATAAAAGCAATCTTTTTGGCTTGTTGCATATCGTGTCAAAATTTGAGCACTGTGAGTCCAGAACTTTTTGAGTTTTTTAAAGCGTACACGAACCAACTTAACACTTATGCGTGTGTACGAGATGAACTCCTCCTAAACGGCTCAACCGAATTTATAGAGATTTTTTGTGATGTGTTCAAGTGGATTCGAGAATACTTTAGATTCACAATTCGGTCCACTTCAAAATGTTGCGAAAACGGGCAGTCAGAATTAATAAAAAGTAGATCAAGAGACCATTATGTTGGTAACAGGTCTTTCGTTACTTTTCACGGTTAATGGAAGATTACCGCCCCCTCTGCCTCTCTAAGTGGTACCTATAAGGCGGCAACGTCCTTGTTCGACTAGTTACAAAAGTTTTCTTTTTAACTGCACGAATGGCGTAGTGGTTTAAGCGGTTGCCACGCCGCTTTCTACTACGCCGAGTGTTGTGGGTTCAAATCCCACATGGGACGACACTTTGTGTGATACACAAATTGTTGTTCTGAGTTTGGGTGTTCTTTGTGTCCGTTTCATGTATGTTTGTAAGATTCCCCGCGACACAGGATATTTTCCTAATGCGGGAGATCTTTTTAAAAAAAAAACTATAATTTATTTTTGCTTTGTTAGTCATCCATGGTGATTATTTTTAACCGACTTCAAAAAAGGTTTTCTATTCGGATGTTTTTTTTATGAATGTTCGGGCATAAATACGTCATAAATAGACGGTTTTTCAAAATTCTTTTTTTGTTCGAAAGTGGTTTATGCCGAAATGGTCCATTTAAATTTCATATACATCTGATGATGAGTTTCGGAGACAGACAACGGAACTCTTCATTAAATGACAACAAATCAACCGCGATTGCTGCTAGGTTTTTAGTGCTCTTTGTGAATATTGTTTGAAGTCGGTTCAACTTCTTTTTATAAAGGATTTTCTCAGTAAATAAGTACACATATACTTCAGCACACGCCTTAGTGCATAGTATATTACCGTATTTTTAGGTTTTTGAAAAAGCTGGTAATCCTGAAGATCCTGATCAGGATACTCGGACAAATTTTTCAAATTATTGTACTGTCATACACCCTTGATAAGTGTGCGAAGTTTGAATTGAATCCGACGTTTAATAAAGTGGGTGAAGAATACGTTCAAAGATTCCGTTACATAGATATATATTTATACAGTGTGTAAGGGACATCGTACCGAATTCTGAAATAGTGTACTCAGACCATGATTCTGAGTCGAAAATCATTAATTTTCCACTTTTCCGGTTAAAAATGATATCACAATGAGTAGATAGAACATTTTACCGAAAACAATTTTATAATACAAAAAAACTGCAATGTAATTAATCAAACTGCCTAAGCGCGCGGGGCCTCCACTCCAGCCGCCATTTTGTTGTTGTGTAGACTGTTTGCAAGAAATACACATGTACCTAGTTATTACATTAGTGCGATACCTACGGACAATGACCTGGACCTTTGAAAGCTGATTGCATAAAAAGTTTAATTTTCCGGCCATATATATATATATATATATACCAATATAATAAAAATGTGTTAAAAATTTTAGTAGGGTCATTAACGAACCGACTGCCGTGTGAGAGATGTGTCAAGGTACCTACCGTTCCTTTCGGAGCCATTACTCTAAGAATGTCAATTTCTTTCATTAGCTCTAATGAAAATGTATAAATTCTTCTATCATTAATTTCAATTAATTCAAGATTAAGATTAACTGGATCACATTAAGTTTAATTAATCGATGTAGTGACAAAAATACCTTAATTCTCTTTAGTTTAATTAAATTTGCCGAAATAGGTTTCTTAAATTTTCAATTTTACGTAAACAAGAATCGAATACATTCTTTGTGGTGTAGCGAGTAGACGAGTACAATTATAGGGGGGGGGGGGGGAGGAGTGAGCAAAACAGCAGGCGTATCATCTGATCGTAAGTGACATGGATACCTGCAACTCTCGCTTAAGCTTCTCCCTCTGGGCCGTATCCGGAAGTGAACCCGAATTCTCGATAGCCAAAAGATCTCCAACCGTCTCGATCCCATAGTGTTACGTTGACATGAAGCTTCACTCTGCATTCTCTATTATATTTATCATGAAAAACTTTCCGCCATCGCTCCACACATCATCTTTCATCCACTTGGATAACTGGCGCTCCACTACTGTGCGCTTTTCGAGACACTTTTTGCCGCTCACAACCAATCTGTGGAACAAGTTATGGTCTGCGGTATTTCCGGACTGATACGACTTCAAGAAATTAATATTCTTCTTTGAAACTGGTTTCGAAATTTGGCTTCGTAGGCCGCCGAATTTATATATTTATATAAAAGCGGCCCAAAATCACCTGGAGTTCTTGAAGAGAACCAATACATTTGAAAATAAATATCAATTTAAAAAAAAAAACAAAAAGGAGGAAATAATTTTCTATAAGTTCAAATTGAAAAATCATTTTATCGTAAAAAACCGTGTAGTGGTAGATCTCTATTGTTGTAAAAATAATTAATTAAATTATGGAATTATTGCATAATATTGTTGTATGGAAAAAAGCCAGTAGGTAATCTTGAAGGTCCTGATCAGGATAATGGGGTAAACTATTTGAATTAATCTATTGTCATCGGTCCTTGATAAGTGTGCAAAGTTTCAACTTAATTCGACGTTTTGAAGTGGGACAATCACGTGCAAAGATTCCGTTACGAGTACATACATACACAGATACGTACCAAGTTAATAAAAGCGAATTAAAAACATAAAGCGCCATCCAGACACAACGTTTATGCAAAATAATAAAACATTGCCACAAGAGAACTAGAATTCAAAATGTCGAAACTACATTGTTGATAGTCATATTACTGTAAATTTATTGCATGTAATAAAATATTTAATGTTTCTGCAGTCAGTTTTCCAGTAAAATGTTTTTATATTCGGCAGTGTGTAAGTAAATAATTTTTGATACCGAAGACAAAGTATATAAAAAATATATAGGCTACTTTTAGTCTGTGGCGTAAGAACGGAGAAATATTATAACAATATTAGAAGACCCCGTAGTTAATACGCGTTTCTCTGCTCCACTGCAAAGAATTAAAGCGTGATTGTTAGTAGCTCATAACCTTCCTTGACAACAGAATTTGCTTAATTTAATTTCTTAAATTCGACTTCGTTTGATAACGTAGTTATGAGGTAATCGGTTAAAAATCATTCGTGTCTTTAGTCTAATTCAATAACTATAATCGTATTTTTAATGTCTGTTTTCAGTTTTTTTCATGACGGTACTAAGTTCAACTAGAAGCTATGTCTTGCTGGCAGCCAATATTGAGGATTTTCGTAGCCTAGCAAAACAATTTGTTCCCGATAACATGGCAGATGAAATCTTGGAAATGGCGAAAGAAGCAATCGGTCGAGATGGCACTATAAAGCCTTTTCCATACCCGGAATATCGTGGCGAAAAACAAGCCGATGAAGAAGCTCAAGAATCCAATGATTCGAAGGTCTCAGTCAGGTCAGTGCACAAATATGTAAGAGGTAGTAAGAGTAAACCTTTAAAACAAGCAACAGGTAAGTATGAATTGTCTCTAGATGATCTTGTAGAGAAAGTGAAGGAAAGATTACAAAGTGAAATAACTCAAATGGCTGCTAACGCAGCTAAGAAGAAGATACTCCTTCAATCTAAGGAGAATAAAAGTATAAGACCCAGCAAACCAGTACCACCGAAAGATTCGTTTGACGTTTCGTCAACTGACCAGCCGCTACCTAATAGAAACCTTTCTCCCAAGTTTGTAGAAAGTATCGGCGACGATATACACAAAAAGCCACGACAAGAACAGCGCAAAAAAAAGCCCACACGTCAAACACATGATCAAAAATATGTAGCTGAAATGTTTGTAGCAGAACCACCAAAGTATTTGTATAATCTTGGTAAACCGGTAGAACTACAACAGAGTATTTATCCTCAACCTATAACAGTACCAATACAACAAAATGAAGCTCCTCGTCAAGAGAGAAATAAAGTACCAAATAAGCAACATCAAGTTAATCATAATAATCAAAATATTAATCGCCAGAGAAAAATTCATCAACCTAAACATATCACGACTACCACACAAAAAGTAGACACTTTCATAGGAGTAGACATGGGGGTAACAAATGATAGTTATGAAGATTACGTTGTCCCTAAAAAAGATAACGATCATTTTGAATCAGAGACGAGACCGAAACCCGTCAAGAAAGTTCTCGAAAATTTAAATGACGAATACGAAGAAACCACTAAAGCTAAAGAATCAGATAAATATGAAGGTGAAACTACTAATTACAATAAGAAAAGAGAAAATGAAAAAGCAATGAATAAAAATGATGACAATAAATATTTTAAGCAACGACCTAGTAACAGAGATCCAGAAAAAGCTGCTGTAGTACCGTTGGCAGCTGAAAATACAGAACAACGGATTCAGCCTTATGCAGAACAACTAGAAGATACAGTTTATGCAGATGAAACAGAAGAAACAGTGACAGAAGAACAGAAAGCACGGTCTGCTATCATTTCATTAAATGATTATACTAATTCACAATATTTAGCACCGCATGTTGAGAAACAGGTCACAGGTAATAAAAATAAGAAGAATAAAAAGCCGAGACAAGCTACAGTTATACCCAAACGTGATATGTACAAATTGAGCAGTCCAAATTATTTGGTTAAAATACCTATAGTCGGAGAAAAATATCGTTTCGATGAACCAATTCCAGAAGAAGACAGAGTGCGGGAGAATTATGAGCCTGTTGGTAACCCAGGTTTAATTAATGGTAAAGTTTTAATATAAAAATAATCGTTTTTTTTATTGATCCAATAAAAATTGGGGCGTCGACATCCCTATCAAAGCGTCTCCAATTCCAATTCTTATCGATTCACTGCAGTCTAATCCAGTTTTGGATCCAAGACTTGCAGTATCAAGTTCCTTACCCAAGCTAACCAACCTCTCTTCTTCCTTCCCAATCCATTCCCTAGGAAGATTGGTGTCAGAAATGCGGTTATACATTTAAGAAAAAAGCCTTTCCTATGTTACTCATTACGCTAAAATCAAATAAAATTGGAAACACACGTCACAAATGTCACACACGAGCGTCTGGTCTCAAATTAGGTGGACCCTATGCTATGGTAACCATACTAATAATAAATATATTTAATTATACTTTACAGATATAGAACAAATGATTGTGCTCATCATACAATATTTGTCCTAGGTTGGAATCGAACCCACGACCTCTGCCTTAGCAGTCAGGGTCATTACCACTAGACCAACAGACCCGAAACATGCAAATACAAACCGCCTTTAAAATGTTGTTAAAATGTAACGAAAGGATTGGTTAACACCGGCTTCTGTGATGCCATTGTATCACACTGGTCGAGGCAGTTGATATGAGCTGTAGTATGGCTTCCTCATAGTATTGGTTAAGTTCTGAAGAAAAAAAATGTAAGGATGTAATGTAAGGACGGGACTCGCACTAATCAATAAGAGATGTTACTTGTACTGCGATAGCTTTATTAATCCCCGATTACAACATTACACATGTCTTATATACTAAGATTACTACGTCACATGCCCTTCCAAAAGAAAAAAAAAATACAATTACAGTTTTTTTTTTTCATGTTTTTTTTTTTTTTTTTTTACTTATGTAGAAAAGTGAAATACATGAATACTATAGCAATATAAAGATAATTTAAAATATAGGTTATTTATTTTAAAATTATAGAGTATAGATACATTGCTTACAATATAAGAGTAATGTTCCAATAATATCATAATTCATAACAAATTCGAGGCGAACTCGTATTACCAACGTGCCTAACTAAGAGTAAGATAAAAACAATAACATACGCTGAATAAAGTACAATCGGAGCGAAAAGTCTTTTATTGATTATAAAGTCTCGTCCTGTTCTTATGAATACATTTTTCTCCACCATTAATTGAAACGATAACATTAGGTGATACATCCTTGACAACCTTAAATGGACCCACGTATAATGGATCAAGTTTGTTACAATTTTCATTTTTGACTAAAACAAAATCTCCAGTTTTATAAGTAATTGGGTTTACACTTTTATCGTATCTCATTTTTCTAAATATTTTACAATTCAACAGGTTACTTTTCGCTTCAATTTGTGATTTTTGTATGCGATATCTAAGTTCTTTTGCATAATCATTAAAATTATAAATTGGATCTAAAGTGGTTGTGAGATTACTAGGTAGACTACACTGTCTCCCAAATACTAATTCATAAGGTGTAAATTTTGTACTTGAGTGTACAGTAGTGTTATAAGAGAAACACCAGTACGGCAACCATGAGCTCCATTCCTGAGTTTGACTATTTACCTGCATTCTGAGATAGAAACCTAAATGTTTATGATTATTTTCTAGCGAACCTAAAGTTTCATGGTGAAAGGCTGTTGAACTTAAATGATTTATTTCTAATATTTTACATACATGGCTCATTGTCGAGTTGATAAATTCAGTGCCCCTGTCGGTTACGATCTCGCGTGGGACACCGTATCTGAGTATAAAATTATTTACCAAGCACAAAGCAACTGTGCGCGCATCCTTAGCTGTTATCGAATACGCCTCGACGTATTTGGTGAGGTCGCACTGAAGCGTTAAAATGTAGCTGTAATTATTATCTCTCGCCAAAGGACCGACCAAGTCTAAATAAATTTTATCAAAAGCTGAATTTCCACAGTCGGTTATAACCATGGGTTCTTTTACCGTTTTCAAATATTTATAACGTTGACATTTGCTACATTTTTTTATAAAATTGCTTACATCGCGCTCTAATCCTGTCCAAAAATATTTTTTACGAATATTATTAGTCATTCGTCTTATTCCTGCGTGTCCGCTTGTAGGTAAAATATGATAATCGTTTAAAATAACTCTCTTTGTATCGTCGTCTTTAATCTTTTTAACGCCTTTTATTACGCATAAGCGGGGTCCGGACCACTTAGGCAATTTATTTATATACTGAGCTAGCTCTTTTATTATTTTAAAATTTGCGTCGTCTTTAATGACATATAAAGTATCTATATGTAAATTCTTACAAAATGATTCCATTTCTCTCACAGAGACAGCTCGTGTACGCTGTGATTGAGTAAACAGTTTCACAAATATAGTACTATTTGTAGACGAATACGCATAATCCCCGTGCTCCTCTGACACACAGGTTTTAACCTTTTTCCATTCTTCCTCATTCACAAATACCAATTCCGTGTAATCATTTGGTAGTTTTAACATTTCTACAACTCTTGGGTGATCAGTCCAATCGTCCTGAGGAATGCTAGCCACCGAAGTACGATTACAAGGAATTTCGTCAAGTTTCCTCTTTTGTGCCCTTGTAAGTACAGACAAGACATGTTCATTCGTTTCCTTCAATTCTTCACTGTCAATTTCTATCCGTGACAATGCATCTGCAGCTACATTATCACGACCTTTTAAATACACAACCTTAAAATCGTATTCTTCGAGTAATAACCGAAACTTTAACAACCTACTGGAAGGATCTGTCAAATTATATAAAAATACCAATGGTCTGTGATCAGTTTCAATAATAAACTTCCTCCCATAGAGATACGGTCTAAAATATTTTACAGATCAAACTATTGCTAATAATTCCTTTTCGATGGTCGGGTATCTGCGTTCGGCCTTATTTAAACTACGGCTGGTGTAAGCAACGGGCCTACGATCAGCATTACATAACACAGAGCCTATAGCGTATCCCGATGCGTCTGTTTGTAAAATAAATGTATTATCATCATCAAATAAAGGATATTGCAGTATGGGGGGGTTCACAAGGGATTGTTTTAAAATATTAAATGATTTTTGACACTCTTTATCCCAATTAAAAGTTACGTTCTTACGACACAAGTTATTTAAGGGTATACATATTATGGCAAAATTTGGAATAAACTTTCTGTAATAATTAGAAAAAGCTACAAACCGTTTTAGTTCATCTGCATTTTTAGGAACTGGATAATTGTTTAAAACTTCAATTTTTTCTGGATCAGGTTTAATGCCGTCCGCAGATACTACATGTCCTAAATATAATATTTCTTTCCTAAGAAAATCGCACTTCTCAGGATTTAATTTTAAATTTACCTTCCTTAACCTTGTTAAAATATCTAATAAGTTTTTATTGTGAATATCTAAATTTCGACCAAAACAAATCAAATTATCCAAATATACGAAACATTTGTCATAATTGAGTCCTGACATTGCTACGGTCATTAAACGTGAAAAAGAACTTGGACTAGTTTTTAAACCCATCGGCATTCGAGTCATTTGATACTGTCCGGAAGGTGTAGTGAATGCCGTATACTTTCGACTATCTGAATTTAATTTTGATTGGAAATATGCATTAGTTAAATCGAGTTGAGAAAAATAAGTTGCACCTGAAAGCGAATCTAAAATATCGGTAATATTTGGAAGGGGGAACCTATCGTCCATTACGCGATCATTTAATTTTCTAAAATCAATAACTAAACGCCACCGTTTAGTATTGTCGTCTGATTTCTTGGGTACTAATAACACTGGGCTAGACCACTCACTATTCGCAGGCTCAATGATGTCATTATCAAGCATTTTTTTTAACTTGGTTCTCAATTTCGTTTCGCTGCGAAAATGGTAAACGATATTGTTTAACGTATACTGGCTCTGAATTCAGTTTCAACTGAATATTTTGTTCATAAAGATTGCATGTACCTAATTTATCCCCCGGTAAGAAAAATGTATCAGAAAATTTTGCACAAATATTTTGTATACTAATGCTTTCCTCTTTGTTTAAATGATCCAATTTTATCAATGATAATAATTCCCGAACTCTTTTGCCATCTGAATGTTGTTTTTCAAAAGAACAAATTTTATAGCAAGATAAACTATCCACATCCGGTCTAAAATAACTAAGCTTAACTTCTGTTTCTCGTGTGTTTAAAATTTGTATTAAAATCTTTCCCTCTTTCGGTTGACAGATACTTCCAGCAATATACACACCCTCGCACAACTCTTTCGGAAAAACAACACAATCGTCTTTCAAATACGAATTAATTTCAAAAATCTTTTCACACCTTGGGGGTACCGTAATGAAAGTGTTTTTACCTAATTTTCCTAATCCTAAGGATATCGTAATAGAACTGTCTAAATTATTTAATGTTATAGTATTGTTTTCATAATTCAAAATACAACAGTATTTAGTTAAAAATTCTCGCCCTATTAAACCGTCTTGGATACAAGGTAGATTTCTAAGAACATAAAACTTATGTTTGAATTCCTTTCCACCTAAGGAAAATGGTATGTAAACAAAGCCTTCGGCGTGCGATTTGCCGCCAATACCATTAATGGTTATGCATTCGGGATGCATCGGAATGTTCCACTCTCTTACGGTGTCATATTTAATCACCGACATCGAGGCTCCCGTGTCAACTAGCATTCTATATTTGGTACCGAGTATTGTCAATTCTATGAAATTATTATAGTCACATGATAATATTAAATTATTCTCGAAAAAACTCTACGGATGGCTTTATATTTTGACAATTATCCGAAGTATTTACTGTAGAATTCTCCTGTTGGCTTAACATATACGCGTTTCGTCGATTATCCCGAGTATAGTTACCTCGGTTAGCAGATCCGAAATTCCGTCCGCGTCCACCAAAACTTTGCCTATAGCCTCTATTATTATTTCCCCGGAAAAATATTCGAGAGTTCAGCTGATTCCCTACATCTTTCCTGTACCTAGGATTTTGCATACGTACATTATATCCACCTCGTCCTCTTCTGCGGTGCTGACTGCTGAAAATTGTCTCCACAGATGTACTGGGGCCTTGATGTGATGTTTCTTCATCCTTAGCCGCTCTAATGGCATCCTTTAGCACACAGTAATTTCGGGCCGCTAAAATGGTGCTTAATCGACTATTTCTCAAGCCTTCGGTAAACCTTTGAATTGCCAATTTTTCATTTATAGGCTTCAGAATATTAAAACACCTGGCATCCTCATCAGCTTGAGAGATAGTCAATTTAACAAAAATCCTCCAGTCTCTTACCAAATTCCTCGATACTTTGAGAACCTTGCCTGGCTCTCACCATCTCCAACTGCAATGCCGTGGCTGATTGCTTGGCTAAAAGATGAGTTTTCATGTCAACAATTAGTTCTGTAGAAGATGTATAATTAGTAGCTAAACGCAATTTTGCACTTTCCGATAACCGAGTCTTAAGTACAAAAGAGATTAATAGTTGCTGATGTTCTTTTTTCAAAGTGTCGCTATAAAATTCTATATAATCGATTAATTTTTTCGTGACTTCCTCATCTTCTGTCATTACAGGGAGAAGAGAAGTTGCAGTTTTCATGTCAAACTCAGTAGTCATGGCGCCGGTTTCTAAATTTTTCGTATCCAAACAAAATTTGACTATATACTGATAATATATCTCTATTTCTTCGCATATAACTAAAATATTTTCTACTTCCTGTTGCTTAAAATGACCCTTATTTACACTTAAGTTTAACTGTTCACGGCTCGCAGTATATCTATCATATAAATTTCTAGCTTCCCTGTATTTTTGCTCTAACAAAGATTTTGTTCTTTTAGTTTTCCTAGATTTACTTTAATATACTTCAATTTCTCGTGTATATCTTGTATTTCAGTCATTAAAAAAATAATTAAATTATACTTTTATACCTTAACATTATATAGCATTACCTATAAAAAAAACAACATATTATGCCGACCTGAATTCAATTTAAAGTTTATTTTTGTAGCACTAACTGTTTTTATATTTCCTATTAATTCACTATTTCTATATATTCTTAAACCGCACTTCCAAGCTTTTATATTTCACTTTCACTTACGTAAACACATATCACCAAGTATGAAGGTAAGATTCTGAACATTTTTCTTTAAGCAGCAATAGGATCCTTGTTTCGTGGTTCTCGCCTGGACCCAGACCTTCTGAAAGCGCTCCGAGCTATCTCCTCACGCATCCAATTCGTGTGACATCGCTTATACAGCTTATAAATTGCAAATTTCACTCCAAATACTAATATTATAAGAATGAATCCTAAAATGATATTTGTTACTCCTTGGTTCTGGTGTATCTGTGCGACATCGGCCGTATTCACTCCACCTGCAGCATTTTGGGCAATCACTATCTCTTCTTTGCTTGGTTTTCCTCCCATTTTCCAAAATGTTATATTTTACCTCACACGTCGTTTACGAACACCGTTGAATTATTTCTACCAAGCGTCATTGTATTACACCACGCTACCAATACCGAAACCGAAACCGCACCTTAAATAAATGGCAGGGTCGCCATGTAAGGACGGGACTCGCACTAATCAATAAGAGATGTTACTTGTACTGCGATAGCTTTATTAATCCCCGATTACAACATTACACATGTCTTATATACTAAGATTACTACGTCACAAATAACAGAGAAAACCAGTGAGCCGTGGTTGTCTCTGCCCACCCTGTAGAAATAGCGAGTAGAGGAAGAGTATCAAATGCAAATAAATTAATAAAAAATATTTCAAAAGAAGCTTTTATAGAGGAATATGATGCAGGACCACAGAACTTCCGACGACAACACAAATAAGCCCAAATTTGATGGGTTTTCCTTGTTTAGTTTAGAAGTTTCTATGGCCGTCGTCCGACTCCATCGTCAGAACAGTTCAATAGTACCATTTATTTTTAATAGACAACTCCTGCATTAGCAATATATCCTGTCGCAGGTAACTTTACAAACATACATGAAACGGAAACAAAGAACACCCAAACAAAGGGTTGAGTCTTGCGGGGATCGAACCCACATCACTCAGGGCAGTAAAAAACCCACTACGGAATCTGTGCAGACCCTGAGTCACTGAAGATACCCATTTCGGTACACCAAGTTTGAGCCCAACCGTACATCGGAGTGGTTCTAACTTAACTGCCAGGATTTTAGCCAAACATATAAAATAAATTGTAATCTTTTTAATTGTAAATTGTGTCTAATGACCCTGACTGCTAAGCCAGAGGTTGTGGGTTCGATTCCCACCCAGGACAAATATTGTGTGATGAGCACGATCATTCGCAGTCCCCGACGAACAAAATCGTAATAGGAAAATAACAATTTTACAGGAGCAAATAAAAACTGAATATCTTGAATACTTTCAAGATAAAAGAGAAGATTCTTTTATCAAAAATAAGGAAATATTTTTTTGCACTAGATTTTTACTAAATTTTTATCATAAATTTTCTCTATCAGTAAGAAAATTGTGAAAATGTCCATTACTGAAATAAGCTATGGAAAAAATTAACGCAAACTAACTTTACGATAGTGTTCGACTGTAATCACAAATCGGTGTTGCTGTAGTAATCGTTCATTATGATATTGTTCCATGGTAAATATGAATATAATAATACTTTATATTCGTAAAATGACATTGCAATCGTATTCGATGATATAACTGACTTTAATATTACGGTAAACATAAATTACATGCTTATTCGATGATCATTTTTAGGTGTTATAACCATTTCGGTACCTATGTATAAATTCTGATTCTGTCATTTTTCCCTCGAACAATATGGTAATAGCCGCTTACTCTAAAATGTTGACTTTTGAGATTTGGTAATAGGTTTTTGCGTTATTCATCGTGTAAATTTTTCACTTATGTTATACGTTGAACAAAAACATAAAGATCATTATTGAATGGATAAATCCAAAAGTATTCATCGGCAGATCATAAAAAAAAATCAATGATTGTAATAGGGTGTGTAGATAACGAATATCTAATAAACCCGATTCTATCGTAATAGCGATTACCATAGTGTTCGTCGGGGACTGCGATTTGTTCTCTGTCTTTGTGTCTGTATGTATTTAGGAATACATATGTATGTTATGTATATCAGCAGGCTAGTTACCATAGTACAGGCTCTGAGTCTGCCTAGTTTGGGATCAAACCGCCGTGTGTGAGGTGGGCGAAATTATTATTATTTACAATTTTACTGGCCCACAGGCCAGGTGGAGTGACGATTGGCGCAAGATGGCTCGAAATCGATCTAAGTGGCGTGCAATGGGAGAGGCGTATGTCCAGCAGTGGACTGCGATAGGCTGATGATGATGATGACAATTTTACTGTATTTGAGGTTACCTGAATTCACACTCACACAAACTCTCACCGTTTCAGTATTCATTCTGGCAAAATATCCAGAAGTCTGTCTATCTAAGCAAAGAGAAGGAAAAATTTACCAATATCTGTCATTAAAATATTTTACAACAATTGATATCTAGCACCACAAATTATTATATTGTGATCGGTCCTTGATAAGTGTGCGAAGTTTGAATTCAATCCGAAAGTTTAAAAAGGGTGAAAATCACGTGCCCAGATGCAGTTACATAGATACATACAAAGCAAGCTAATAAAAGCGTTGAAAATTATCATCATCATCATCAACAACCTTTAATAGTCCACTGCTGGACATAGGCTCCTCCTTAGAAAGGAGGATTTGGCCTACTATACCACTAGTCAGACGGGTTGGTATAGGGTTTGTGTCAAGTTTTCCTTCTATTTGCTGTGAGTGAGAGTGCTGTTTTTCTACGTATTTTATTCCCTTAGTCTGCTCTAACGACACCCACGGGATGAATAGGGGTGGTGACGCTCCGTATTCTTAATCCGTCACCACACCGTTAAAAATATAAAAATTTAAATAAAACAAATTATAATTCACTAAAAACTTTAATCACAATCGTCTTCTGATGGTGGACAAATTTTTTTCGGAGTCGTCAGCTTTGGGTATCTTGTACCTGAAGATGTTCTAGTTGAGCCTAAAATATTAAATATATTTAAATATTGTTACGAACAAATTAGTTACTTTTATGACATACGAGCAAACGCTTAACGGTAAGTAAATACCGCCCTTAAATAAGCCCCCCCCCCCTCCCAATTAACGGAGCTGGGGGGGGCCACAGGTTGGACTTCTGTCAACTCACTTACTAGTTATATAACAAGAATAACATTATTAAAAATAATAAAAAAACGACTGCAAAAAGATCACTCACTCACTCAAACATGGCCGTTGTGACGTTTTCAAAAACAGGTTACCTTTAGGTGTTGTTGTGTAGGTTTGGTTACCTTTTTTTTATTAACCTATTAGTATTTTGCGCCAAAACACCGCTGTTTTGTTTTTTCTTTCAAAAAGCCATCTAAGGACACTTGGGTTTTTGAGACGGATAAATCAATACCTAAACTGTTTAAATCTATTCAGTCATTAGAAGATAAAAGGTAATAAAGAAATTTACAAATAAACATACAAGATACGCGCGAAAAATATAACCCTTCCTTGGCAGTCGTGTAAAAAGCAACGAAAAATTTGCTTAAAAGTGATCATTTGTGAGGCTGTTAATATCACTGCAGTCGAGCTGGTCCAAATTTGTCAAACCTGGTTCTCCCACTGTAAAAGGATCCCCGCTCAATTTTAATATTTGTCTGTGGCAAAATACTGTCCCTAGACTAGTAGTGTCACGTACGCCATTTTCAATCTACTGCAGTCTTATCCGAGTCCCATCCGGAACTCTCTTACCCTAGCCCTTTCCTTTAATTTAGCAAGCAGATATAGCGTCAAGCGTGCAGCCAGATATAAATTACAAGGGGGAAAACTCTCTGCAGGATTACCTACTAATTGCAAAAAACGATTGTGCTTTAGACCACACGACTGAAGTAAAACTTCTTGGCTATGAGAGAAAGAGAGAAAGAAAATGCTCTTGCCCCTACAGTAATATACGAAACGTAACTCTCTCTCTTTCTATCTTCACTGACTTATATCTCCCTCTCAACTTCCTTTCGCATCGCTCGATCACACTTTTAGTAACGCATTCATCAGCTTACTCCTAAAGTCAAGCGTGCGTAAAGAAGTTTTAATTTAAAAAGTGATAAAGGATAACAAAATTATGATGGGACCCTCCCACACGGCCACCACGGTAACTCCTATACACCAGGATCAACAATGACCCATGAACACACCGAGTTATGACCAGAGATTGGAATAAGTAGAGTATATTTAACTAAAATTCGAGGAAGTAAGTAATACAAAGTTGATAATACCGGGATTTAACTCCACTGCTGAACATAGACCTCTCCTTAGAAAGAAGATTTTGGCCTATTATACCAAGCTGGCCAGACGGGTTGGTATAGAGTTTGTGTTAAGTTATCCTTCTCTTTGCAATGCTGTTGTCCTGCGTAGTTTACGCCCTTAGTCGGCTCTTACGACACCCACGGGATGAATAGGGGTGGTGACATTCCGTATTCTTAATCCGTCACCACACGGATAAGGGAATAATATTTAAAAATGCAAATTACTTATTGTGCTTTGAATACATTTGAACTTAATTGAAGAATCTTATTAAAACTCCTTTACTAAAACCGTTAAATAACCGTTAACCGTTTTGTTTTACATACAAAAGTTTCATCAACAAAATTTTACTCTGAACTCAGCTGAGGCAAACGTTGCCCAACCTTCGAGGTTTTTTTTATTACAATATAATCAGGTAAATAACAGTAGAACTTTCAAGAATTAATTTTAGATGAAAAACAAAGGTTTTGCCTACTATACAAGAGGTTTGGCCTACTATACCACGCTGGCCAGACGGGTTGGTATAGGGTTTGTTTCAAGTTTTCCTTCTTTTTGCAGTGCTGTTGTTTTGCACAGTTTGCTTCCTTAGTCGGCTCTTGCGATACCCAAGGGATGAATAGGGGTGGTGACACTCTGTATTCTTAATCCATCACCACACGGTTGATACCCCGTGTCGGAAAAAAGTCTTGGTTAACATTTTTCGGTCTCGCTCCCATCTGCTCAGAGCGTATAATGCGCGCTAAAGAACTACATTTCGAAAAATTGGAGTAATTTGAAATTAATGGATGCTGAGTTTAGATACCTGTTAGTTCTGATGTCTGTATACAAGGCGGTCGGAATATCCGCGATTGACGGAGCAAGTTACGGATGTTGCCATAATCCATGTGCCACTTTTCCAATAATCTTTTTATGCCAATCTTCAAAGTTTTGAAAGTTTGTACCTTTGCTGTAAGGATCACAATGAGATATGAATTCATATGCTTCTAAAAGAACTTCATTTGAGTTTAGGAATTACTGGATTAGAAGAGATAACGACTGCACGGATGGCGTAGCAGTTTAAGCCGTCACTTTGTCACTTCCTACTGCACTGAATCTTGTGTGAATCCAAAAAGAACAACACTTTGTGTGATCCACAAGTTGTTGTTCTCAGCCTTTGTGTCCGTTTCATGTATATTTGTATAGTCCTCTGCGACAGAGGACATATTCCTAGTGTGGAAGTGTCTTTAAAAATAAAGATGACTGGAAATGAGGCTCATTCTTTACAGTGATTAAATACTGCCTTATTAACCGCCTCCAAGACAACGAGGAGGGTCTGTATTAGGGTCTGATTTTATTTATGTTTGTTACTTCAGAACTTTGTAATTTTTGACCCGGTTTATAAAAAGGAGCATTGAGAAAGAGTTTGGTAGCATATACTTCTAAATTGGTCCCATTTAAATTTGAAAAAGAAATACTACCTCTAAGGTTGAAAAATTAAGGAATGAAAAATACAGTTTGTTAAAATTTATCGTGGTCGTATTGAAGTTGGTGAGACATTTAAAAGTTAATTATTGTCAAACTCGTGTACGAAGACAGCATGCTGTAGGTTGTGCAGATTTGTATAATAATAATAAGTTCAAACGTCTTAAACACGGCAGTCTGATCCCAAATTATTCAGTACCTGTACTATGGTAACCAGACTGCTGATAAACATACCTTAATATTACTAAATACATACATACTGGATTGAAATCGAATCCACAACCTCTGACGTAGCAGTCGGGGTCACTAACCACTGGACCAACAGGACCAACAAATATGTAGATGCTCTGTTAGAAGACTCTCTTTCTGGCAATATTTCATTTCAGTTAAAGTTACCCGCCCTGTGCTGCTCCAGCTATTGATTTAATTCCCTAACTCATTCGGGGAAGGGGCAAGTTGTTTAGTGTGTTGTGTCAGTTGTTGTGTTATAACCATTACCTTGTATGATTTGGTTAAATAAAAGTCTCATAGCTCGGTCGTCCCATTGGTACAATCTTATATTGATGGTACTAATCTGGTACAGAATTGAGTAGATCTCGTCTTTTGTGATGGTCGATGTGTCTTCGGATATCAACTGTAGAACTCTAAAAAGCAAAGGTAACAAACGCTTGATTTAATTTAGATTAGAGGTAAAGACTATGTGGTTACCGAGAAGGTTCACACATAGCAAAGTAATACTAGCTAGGTCAGTATATCGATGGGTAACCATTCTTAACACATCGAAACCCCTCCGTGTCTCGGAGAACACGTTAAGCCGTCGGTTCCAGTTGTCGGTTCCAACTATATACCAACTCATCACACTATTATTTGTCCTGGATAGGAATGGATCCCACGACCTCTACCTTAACAGTCTGGGTTGATAACCTTGTCACCAACAAACCTGTCAGTAAGTACTTAAAGTACATATATAAAATTAGTCCATTAAATTAAAATGTTTAAACCCTTGAGAGCGGTACAGGCGTAAGTATATTATGTTTAAATGGTTTAATTATAATGAAAAATAGGAAAAGTAATATTAATGTGATATCATCTGCCTACCCTCATCCCAATTTTTTTTCTTCAATTCTACTCTATCATTCGTCATCTTACTGTTTACTCCATCAATCCATCAAGCAAACAGTCCATCCACCTTTTCTTTGGTCTTCCTCGTCTCTTGTACCCTTCAACTCCCATACCTAACACTTTCTTCGCTCCATTTTCTTCATCATAACATGTCCATACCAAGATAACCCCTTGTTAATCACGTGTTCATTCACATCCATCTCAGCATTCGCATTTCGGCTACGTTTAGGCGTCCTTCATCCAACTGGGCCAACCTTCAGAACCATATAGGAAGGTAGCAATATTAATGTGATAGACAATGGTTACCCAAATGGCTTCGGAATTTCATAATATCTTTCTGGCAAAGCGTATTGGACCTGAATTCTTCCCTAGACAATAATCTTGAATCATTCGTAGGCTAATTGATGGGTACGTACCACGCATAAACATAATAGTTCTCATTACCCTTATTAGTTCTCTCACCCTCTAATTAGAAGCCTAAATGAAAAAAAAACGACTAAGAATTCGTTTCAAAAACTACAAGAACACCATGGATGAGCAAGGCCTTAATTTATTGAAATTGGGATGCGATAAACTAGCAACTATGTGTTATAATACGTATACAAGCAGATTGGAATCTATTCCAACCACTAATTCAAAGTACTTTTGGAATCTGCTGGGAAACTAGCGTCTCAGTTAACTATCATCTGTAAAAGATCTTTGATAACGGGCGAATTTCCTCTATTTGGAAAGAAACGAAAAATGTTTCTTGATATAAAACTGGTGACGAGAGTAATGTCAAATATTACAGGCCGATAGCAATATTATCAGTACCTGCGAAAGTGTTTGAGGGTCTTACCTGTCCTCATTTATCCCGGCATATCTCTCCAAAAATAAGGACTACGCAGCATGGCTTTCTAGCGGTAAAATCTCCTGTCTCAAACCTTTTTGTTTTTCTAATGGTGTAAGGATCAAACGAGCAGACGGGTCACCTGATGGTGAGCAACAACCGCCGCCCATGGATACCTCCAACTTAAAACTCACAAGTGCGTTGCCGCCATTGACTAAGAGGCTTATTATTCCGAATCAACGAACCCTAACACGTAACAATAGTTACCTTAAAACAGTTCGATCGGTTGATTTTATAACTTTAAATGTTCCATTTCCCTTTTCTCCCATCAGATAGGGTGAAAGAAGGTCCAAGCAATGAACTTCATGGATGGGATAGTTGAGGCTGTGATCCAGTTCTCTGCGATAGAAGATCTCTGCCGGCTTCCTCGCTCGCAAGAGATTCTTCTTTTTCTTCTTGATATTCGTCCTGCAGAATTACCAATTTCTAAAGTTACAATTACAACTCTTTAACAGACTTCAATAAGGAGTATGTTATCAATTCGGATGTATGTTCGGGTATAACTCCGTCGTATATGGACGAATTTTCATAATTCTTATTTTGTTTGAAAGGGGTTTATTCCGGAATGACCCTATTTAAATTTCATATATATCTAATGATTAAATTGGGAGACAGACAACGGAACTCTTGAGAAAAATTACAGCAAATCAATAGCGATTGCAGCTAGGTTTTTAATACTCTTAGTATTGTTAGAAGTCGGTTTAAATATTTTTTTAAATGATAAATTTTTGTTTTCTTAAAATTAGTAATTGTTATAAAATAATAATAACGACACGGGCGTCTGTTGTGATACTATAGAGCCTGTTCAATGGTAACCAGACTTCTGATAAACATACATATTTCTTTAGAAATATAATTATATACATAATAGGTAAACTACACCGTGCCTCGCAGTGCACGTTAAGCTGTCGTCGGTCCCTATCGCCATACGAGACCAGCGGGCCTGGTAAAATAAAACCTGAATAAGGCCTTCCTAGTTTTTAATGACGGTTGAAAATTTATAGGTTATACTTTACTAACATAGGTATTTAACTTAATTTTTAGTGACATATCACGCGGTAGTGGTACTGTCGAACGTACTGTACCGCTTCCACATGAAATATCTGCGCAAAATACTCAACATTCGTTGGATTGATTGCATTTGAAATACCGAAGTACTGCGAAACGCCAATATCATGGGGATTGAGGCATACCTCATGCGGCGGCAACTCCGCTGATGTGGACACATGTCTAGATTGGCAGAAAAACGTACGGCAAAATGCATCTTTTTCTTGGAACTTGAGGAGGGCAAGCGTAAGCATGACGGGCAACTCAGGTTTAAATATATTCTTAAGCCCCACATGAAGAAGTGCGATATTGAGCATGTTAGGTTTTTTAAGTTATGACACACACAAACTGTTTTATGTTAAGGTTTTAAGTAATGACACACACAAACTGTTTTAATCACTGAGTTTTAATATTAAGGTTTTAATGAACAGCATGGTCTAAGTGACAAACAATAATCAAGTATAAACATGCTAGCAAACAGAAACGAGTGTTCTGATTGGCCCAGAGACAGAAAAGGCGGACCAATAGCATTTTTCGTAACATGTGACCACTGTTCTCTCCAATATTCAAATTTACTTACTAACAGAGCCTTCAGCCTCAGTGATCAAAATGGTTTTTGGGGCAAACCAGAGTCAAAGACTTTAAGGACAGTCGCTGCTCTGAACTGGATGCTCAGCGAGATAAAATAAAAGCACGCGAACCTTGTGGTGTCACTTACAATTACTGCAATGGTGTGCTCACATGCTCGCATTGTGCGCGTACATTTATCAATAAGTTCGACTATGTGCACACCAACGACAACTTGTACGGAGTTGAAGCCGAAATCGGTCGAGGATAGTAGTAGTAGTTATGGATATGTTAATTTTTTATGCTATTACTCTTCGTGTGGTGACGGATTAAGAACACAGAGTGTCACCACCCCTATTCATCCCGTGGATATCGTAAGAGCCGATTAAAGGAAAAACTACGCAGAACAATAGCACTGCAGAGAGAAGGAAAACTTAATACAAACCCTATACGAACCCTTCTGGCCAGCGTGGTATAGTAGGCCAAAACCTCCTTTCTAAGGAGACGCTTATGTCCAGCAGTGGACTATTAAAGGCTGTTGATGATGATTACTCGTCTGAGTAAAACCACAACGCGAACCATAGCATCAATAAGTTTTTGTATGTATTTGTATGTTGAATGTTATTTATTTATGATTCTTTAAACGACATGTGCCGCTTTTATGTAATAATGTAACTGGATAAGCTTAATCGGTTTTGTGACTGCATTTCCCACTTTTATGTTTAATGCATGCCGTGGCAGCCTTTAATTAAGGCCACACTATAAATTGTAAAAATATGGTAACCTTAACATATATTTTAGTGTAAGCTTGTTAGATATCCTTAATAAAATAAATGTTACTTGCTAAATTTCATCATCTTTCAACGGGAAGTGCCCTATGAATTTAGATTAACTTGAGTGTCGAAATAAAGGGGTTTTGGTATAAACGGCCGTATCTTTTCTATGTTAACGACTAGGGACTAGGAATATATCCTGTGTCGCGGGGGACTTTACAAACGTACATTAAACGAACACAAAGAACACCCAGACTCAGAACAACAATTTGTGATTCAGACAAAGTGTTGTCCCATGTGGAGCTCAACCAGAGTGATACCACGGCCTCTCCGATAACGGGTGTTAACCAATTCTTTCGGTGCTTTACACCGAGTGAGTGAGGTTTCCAGAGCCACAGAGCCCCAACACCCAACCCCCCTTTCCACATCTTTTCCGAGGGCACAAAAGGCGGCAAGGCATAATGACTCTTTAGTTGCAGGTGTACATAAGCGAGGGTTCATCATCATTATTTATTACATATAGCACAGCATACAGAAATAAAACAAAAGTTAAATAACAACATACACAAAGAAACTAAAAATTAAGTAGGGTTTTAATAACACGTTAATAAGGCAACATTTTTCAATATGTCATCTTTCATACCTGACAGAATTGACATGACACGTCATCATGACATTACTTATCAACTAATACTTTTCAACCTATGTACCATAAAGAATCTTTGATGTTGCTGAGGCTAGTACCGATACCAGGTACCACCCTCTGTGTACACTACACGATAAAAAAAATTATTTCTCACCTTAAAGGTTTCAAATTAAATTCCTCAACGTTTTTTCTGGAAGTTGCTTTTATCGTAGTCGAGGTAGACACAGTATGTTCAAGCTTTGTCTTTTCAATCTTAGGTTCATCGTGCATTATAGGAGTTATACGATCATTCTTATTCACTTCTGTTACAATATCGTAGTTAAAGTTTAACTCCGCTGACTGATCCTTTATCTCCGGTACCCCCATCTCTTGGAGGAAAGCTTCTTGATCCTGCCTTATCTCATCACGCACCATCTGCTTTAATATCTCAGCGCGGCTGTATGCGTCTGGCATCATTTGTGCGTATTCGTCTTGAATTGTATTAGTGCATTGTAGTTTAAATGCTGAAAATTATGTTCCAATAAGTGAAAAAATAATCCGTGTGGTGACGGATTAAGAATACTGAGTGTTTCCACACCTTTTCATCTTATAGGTGTCGTAAAATCCGACTTAGGGAGCTAACTAAACCGAAACCTCCTGTATTAGGAGATACCTATGTCCAAAAGTGGATTATTAAAGGCTGTTGATGATAATGATGAAGTAAAAAACCTTACAGTGGTCATATCTGCTGTGTAACACCTTACATTCACCTACCATCTGACACACAACACTTGCGCTGCACGCTCATTGGTCAAATCAAATAGCCCGCGCTTCTTAGACTTCCTGTTACATAGATCATAGAGTAAAGATGTAACTCATTAAAACCTATTTAATGAGATATCATTGCTATTTCGATTCAAGAAAGAGTAAAACCTAAAATATTGCATCCTTCAACTGTGTTAATATATACGATTACTATAAATCTGAGGAGTTGCATCCTTCAACTGAATTTGTTTGGTTGAACGTGCGAATCTCAGGAACTGCTGGTTCGAATTGAAAATTTTTTTTAGTGTTGGATAGGTCATTTATCGAGAAAGGCTATAAACTATATCACTTTATCACGCTACGGCTAATAGGAGCCCAGCATCAATAAAAAATGTTGCAAAAACGGGGCAAACTTTAGTGGGTCAGTTAGTTCTAAATATATTAGTATAGTTGGATATTTCTGTATAATTCTTTGTATCCTTTTTAGCTAACTACAGTTTGCCAGGCGGTCAAATTTCAACCGTTTTAAATGTATTTTTTGATTATCTCTCAAAAAGAATAAATTACTAATAATAATAATACAATGATAGGATAAGGAGCGCTTTGGAGGATGCGATTCTAGAGTACCGGTATGTGAATTGGAATAATAGACCCCGATTGTCCCGTTTGACAATTCATAAACGAAATTTAGCGCTTGTGGGTGCCCTGGATTCGTTATTGCCTGATTATTTAGACAATAGCGAAGATCTTGGTGATACACATTCTATTCTGTATTGTGCGGCTGTTGCAGTTTGTCGAGTAGCTGGTGTTAATATAGTTGAAAATGTCACTACTACTCGACCTAAATCAACTGTACCAGCTTGGCAGTGTAGAATTGAACGTCGTATTGCTGAGACCAGGGTGCTTATTGGTAAGCTAATTAGTTTTCGATCAGGGAATACGCGGCCGAGAGTGATGCGCTTTGTGAAACAGGCATTCTTGGGGACTACCATTGGTCCTCAACAGTACATGTCATGTGTCACAGAGCGCATAGACTTTCTAAAGCAGAAAATTTATGCATGGGCAAATAGGTTAAGACGGTACAAAAAACGAATAGATCGGTATAATCAGAATCGGATGTTCCAAAGAAATGAGAAGTGGGTGTACCGGAAATGGGAGGAACCGGATCCATGTGTGAGTCATGGGCATTTGCCAGATGAAAATGTCACACATACTTTTTGGCGAAGCATCTGGTCGGTGCCTGTCACTGATATAGAAGATGATTGGTTGCGGGATGTCAGACGCTCATGTGAGTCTATAACACCTATGGAACCAGTTATAATTGATAAAGATGATGTAAGCTGTGCAGTTCGTTCATTACCGAATTGGAAATCACCAGGTTTAGACGGACTGCACAATTTTTGGCTTAAGTGGTTCCGAAGCTCACATGCGTGTTTGGCATCTCAATTCCAGGCAGCTTTGGATTCGGGTTCATTACCCCAATTTTTAACCACTGGTATAACCCACTTACTCTATAAGTCTGGTAGTGTCATGGATCCCAAAAATTTTAGACCTATTACATGTTTACCAACCATGTACAAACTTCTTACATCTATTCTGAGACTCAAAATTACTTTACACATTAATAATAATTCGATTATGTCAGTTTCTCAGAATGGATGTAGAAGTGGGAGCCGTGGCACTAAAGACCTCCTTATTATAGACAGGGCCATTAGCCAACAGGTGCGTCGTAATCGTAAGAGTTTGGTGACATGTTGGATAGACTATAAGAAGGCTTATGACTCGGTTCCACATACATGGCTTTTGAGGGTGCTGGAGTTGTATAAAATTGATACAACTCTGTGCGCTTTCTTGAAGTCATGTATGGGGCAATGGAGAACAGCGCTTCGTTATCCAGGATGTCGGCAGACGACGGTAATTGATGCACCAATAAAGATTGAGCGGGGTATATTTCAAGGTGATAGTCTGAGTCCCTTGTGGTTTTGCCTGGCTTTGAACCCTCTTAGCACTTTATTAGAGGGTTCAGGGCTAGGCTATAGGTTGCAGAAAGATGATCAAGTTATATCTCACCTTCTTTATATGGATGATTTGAAACTACTAGCCCCCACCAAATTACAATTTTCAGCGTTACTAAAAGTGACGGAAAACTTTAGTAATTCTATCAAAATGGAATTTGGTGTAGACAAGTCATGTATGTAAAGAAGGGTGAGATAGTAGAATCTGAATTAATAGAGCTTTCCGATTCAACAAAACTCAGATCTCTGTCTGCCACTGAAACTTACAAGTATTTGGGTATATCACAGTCGTTAGGCATACCAGAATCTGACATGAAACAAACGTTGCAGGAACGCTTTTTTGGCCGCTTGAAAAAAGTACTTAAAAGTCTTTTATCAGGGGGCAACAAGGTGCGAGCCTGCAATGGTTGGGTCATGCCGATTCTGATGTATTCCTTTGGTATACTTAAATGGACTCAGACCGAACTAGATGCCCTTGATAGGAGAGTCCGTACATTGCTGACTGCATTTCGAATGCACCACCCACGTTCATCGGTTATGAGATTGTATATCCCGCGAAAGCTAGGGGGTCGCGGATTATTAAATATCAAGACCCTACACAATCGGGAGATATGCAATCTCAGAGAATATTTTCTACATACCGATGTGGGAATGCATCGCAATGTAGTTGCAGTGGATATCGGATTCACCCCGCTCGCTCTGGCTAAAGAGAATTGGCGCAAACCTGTAGTATTTAGTACTAATGATCGTAGGGAAGTATGGAAGGGCAAAGAGCTCCATGGTCGGTTTTATCGGGCCCTAAACGGGTCCGATATAGACTTTAAAGCATCTACGACTTGGCTACGGTATGGTGATCTCTTCGGAGAAACTGAAGGTTTTGTTTGTGCGATTATGGACGAAGTTATCATGACGAATAACTATCGGAAATATATCCTGAAAGATGGTACGGTTGACATCTGTCGGGCATGCCACCGTCCTGGGGAATCAATCAGGCATATCATTTCTGGTTGTTCTCGTCTTGCTAACGGTGAATATTTGCATAGGCACAACCAAGTAGCCAGGATTGTACACCAACAGCTTGCCCTTAAATACCATCTTGTGAATCTAGAGGTGCCATACTACAGGTATGTGCCCGACCCAGTTCTCGAGAATGGTCGGGCCACGTTGTATTGGGATCGATCTATTATCACAGACAGGACTATTGTTGCTAATAAGCCTGATATTGTAGTGATACTCGTAGATCGATTAGAGCGCCGCGCAATGATTGTTGATATCGCCGTTCCTCATGACGAGAATCTCGTGAAAGTTGAAAAAGAAAAACAAATAAAATCACACAAGCTACACCAGATAATTTAACAAAAGCAGTGGATGCCATAAATAGAGACTTAATGCAAATATGTAACTGGAGTAGGGAGTATGGCCTAAGCGTAAACCCCACAAAAACACAGGTGATTATTGTAGGTAGTCCCAGGCTACAAGCTAAAATAAACTTTCAGCAAATACCATTTGTTTGTTGCAATGGCACGGTTGTACCTTACAGTGAAAAGGTAAAAAACTTGGGGATCCACATGGATAGGTACCTATCCTGGGGCCCCCAGGTTGGAGAAGTTAGCCGAAAACTATTTGCAGCGGCAGGATCTCTGCGAAGGCTACGGAACTTCCTTCCCACCTATACTAAAATTGCGCTCGCACAATCTCTTCTTCTTCCTATCCTTGACTATGGCGATGTCAGCTATCTGGATCTCACCGAAGACCAACTGAATAAACTTGAGCGACTCCAAAACCTATGTATTAGATTCATATTTGGATTACGCAAATATGATCACATCTCAGAGTATCGTTTTAAACTCAAGTGGCTACCAATACGCTTTCGCCGGAATCTTCATATTCTTTCTCTTTTATACAGTGTTCTGTTTCATCCTCGCACACCCTCTTATCTCAAAGAACGTTTTCAGTTCTTACACAACACACATTGCAGGGACCTAAGGTCATCGGAGAATTTAAAACTAAAAATGCCGCAACATTCCACCCAGTTTGCTGACAAATCTTTTACTGTGCAAGCAGTAAGACTTTGGAACAACTTGCCTTTGACAATCCGGCAAGCTAAAACCTTGCCCGCTTTCAAAAAGCTAGTGAAGGATTTTTATCTGACATTATAAATACTGTTGGTTTCTTTATATATGGTATATATTTCGGACAGTATATATATATGTTGTGTGTATGTCTATTGAATATGTATATATATGTATATATAAATATGTATATGTATATTTATAAATTTTGTTTATGTATGTGTGTATGTATGTATGTATATGTATTTATCTATGTGTAGTGTGAACAGGTGTTTATTGTGTATGGATGCTTTTGTTTATATTTTAAATATTCACGTGATATGCGTTATGTGTATGTAAACTACTCAACTTTTAAATAACAAATATCCGTATCAAGGTTGTCTGGAAGAGATCGCCGTGAGCGATAAGACCGCCGATTGTTAAGTCTATATATTTGTAATGTCTTATGTGCTAATTTGTAAACAATAAAGATATAAATAAATAATAAATAAATAAATAAAATATTTGGATTTATCTCACGAGATTGTCGATATGTGGAATGTCGATTCAGTGATAATTGTTCCGATAGTCGTATCTGCTCACGGATTGATAGCCAAGAGCCTCGACCAACACCTTAAGAGGC